ATTTTCAGAAAATCACTTATAACTTTTGATTAAGTTATCGAATCGGGCTGAAACTTTGGCATCTGGTTGTGACCTCTAGCTCTACCTTCGGGCAGAGAATGAGCGTTCGGCGATCCCTAGTTTATTTTTGCGGTAAAAAAGACCGTGTAAATTTTTTTTTGTGACACCCTGTATGTATATATATATATATATTTTAATATGCGAGACGAGACCCACGAGACGACGAGAGCGTGAAACGCAAGAAGGCGGGAAAACCATGCAAGACTGGATGGACAATTGATGCAGGGTACTTTGTGTCGGGCGGCCGCTTGCGCCACATAACACACGCATGGTGAATTTCGGTACTCAGTTTAGTTTCGGTTTTGAAAGGCGACCGGTCTTTTGGCGCAGGTTTGGCGCAGATTATCTATATTGTGGCAAAATGTAGCAGGATGTAGCAAGGTTAGCCCCTTGGCGCAGTTTGGCGCAGCAATCACATCACTGCTACATGTGCATTTATTTACACTAGTTACAAGTCCCAACTTGGGAGGCCATCCTGCCTCGTCTAAAGTCTCGACCCCCGTCCCCAATTTCTCTAAATCGAATCCAATCCAAAGATCCATCTCGACACTCTTTTTGTAGGCCCGTAGAAGTCCCCTTTCCCCCAGGGACCGACCGATCTCTTCAAATGGACCTTTTTCACATACCGACGGCACCAGGCGGTGGCTGCACGAACTAAAAATCGAGGAAGTGACCTACCTGCGCTACCAATCGATAATGGGAGCTACGCTACCAGTTTCTTCGCCCTCTGAGCAGGCTGAGCAGCGACGCCTGCCCAACGCGACTTTAAAGAGGGGCATCCGTGGCGTCCACCCAAACGTCGTGTTTTCCTTTGCGTCGACGTTCTTTTTTTGTGTAACACAATTATATATATGCTGCAGTTACGTGTTCTACTCGCTGATATACAGCCTCCTTCCGAATTTCCTCGATTTTTCGTTCCGACTTCCGCCGCTTGGCATCGGGCGCTCGCGCGAGCGCAGAACGCTTCTCGGAAAAGGTCCATTCTACCACTCCCACGTGGTACACTGTTACCCAATGGTCGGCGAGCTGTCAGCCTGGCGCTCCAACCGCCAAACCCAAATTTCTTCCAGAGTCGTCCCCTGCATTTTTCTCAGTCTGGCTAGCGCCAACAGCTAAATTATTACACCGGGCAAAAAGCGACAATTTGACATTAACCCTCCGTACACAGGCACACTCGGTTAACAGCCGCAAGCAGCCCCAAGAACGGGCTGTCCCAGGGATCTGTCCGAGCAGACTCCCGAAACCCGAGACGTTTCCTAACGACCGCGGGGAAACCGCTCCCACCTCTCGGCCGCTCTGTCTCCGCAAACGCTCCCTCTAAAACGTTGACACCAACAGAGAAAGCTAAAAAAAAAAAAAAAAAAAAAAAAAAAACAAACAGTGCCGACGCAACTTTGGAAACATAAACTTGTCCAACAAAAGAAATCACCTTAATTAATAAGCATGATTTTTATATACTTAACTATAGGCTTCAAAATATTACGAAAAAAAGGACAAAATAATTTTAATACTCTGACTAATTCTAATTATGGGACGCACATCCAACAATCTAGGTATGAGAAGATACAAATTTACGGTGCGTTCCTCAGCATTTCAAGCTTGGAAATACTTCGAAAACATTCCTAGTTGCCGAAGAACCCTCTTTGATTCGAACTTCGAAACGAATATAACATTAATCGCTTCGATATTCAAACAATTCGAATATTCGCAAAACCTTGGTCAATGGGTTGAGAACTTGAGACCTCTTGACTGTTAGCTGTATCTTCCCGGATTCAGACTCGATACGCGCACGGCCTTGATTATATCGAGGTTACCGGTGCATTCCGGTTGAACGACTCGTGAGAGGCTAAAATGATTAGAGGTGGAAAAAGAAAATGTGTCATCCACGAGATTGCACCTTTGACGAAACTCTACGGCGGTAGAATATAGCCGTCGCTAGGGCGGAAACATTAAACGGCCGACAATTGTTACCGATTGATCACTGGGCCGAGACCTCTTGACCCTTAGATGTATCTTCCCGGATCCAGACTAGATACGAGTAAGACCTTGATTCTATCGAGGTCGTCGGTGTAATCCGGTTGGACACCTCGTGAGAGGCTAAAAATGGTTATAGGTGGAAAAAGAAAATGTGTTATCCAGGATACCACTTTTGACGAAACTCTACGGAGGAAGAAAATAGCCCATAGGGCGGAAACATGCAAAGATCGGTGTTTTTTTTTTTTTTTTTGTTTTGTTTTAATCAGGGCGAAAAGATTCAACCACCGGTGTTTTTGAGTTTTAACCAATTTGGTATTTTCATCACCGGCGAAAGTTTATCGGTGTCTTTCGGTTAAAACCGAAAAGTGCGCAGCCTAATTATATCGTAGTGTCCTGTTCGGGCTGCGCCGCCTTCGACACCCTTGACGTTGAAACCATGCAGCATCTCACAGATTACAAGGCCTAGATTTAATATGTCATCTATCGGAGTCCAGCGCGGGTCACAGATGGGGCACGAGTGCTGCGTCACTGTTTGGCCTCGTTTCTAAAGCAATAAAAAAAAAAAAAAAAAACGTTCTGCAAGGGCGAACGCTGCACGAGCCCGCATATCGTGAAAACATGGCGGAGAGGTAACAAATACCAACTATGCTCGATTTCAGTCGTCGTTCCGTCTTTCTCGCCAAGTGTAAAAAGTAATGATGTAGACATCTTATAATAACTAAAATGTTGCCATAGATTAAGTACAGTTTCAAGCTCCTGAAACGGCATGTTGACATTAAAGATTCTCCGAGGCAAACCATGAAAATAATCGGGAAATTTTGATATCTTAAAAATCATGATCGAACAATCCATTTTAACTTTGTTTTACTTGTTACCACCTCAAAAACCGCAGTAAAAACCAACAAGAAAACAATTTTAGCGGAACTTTATTAATTTCCGCCTTTATGTGGTGAGTTAAGGTGCATGTAGGCGTATTTTAGATATTAGTTATGTTATTTTATCTAGCCCAGGGGTCTCCAGCCTTCGGCCCGCGTACTGGATCTTGCCCGTGGAAGTCTTCCGACCGGCCCGCGGCTGGCGGTGGTCTTTCAAATAAAACCCAGCTTGCGGCCCTCATCAGCAGACCCGCTGCTATAGAGACACAAAAAGAACTCTAGAGACGGTGCCGCGACGCTCTCTAAATGCCCAGACTAAAATATCACAAAGAACGAGAACAACTGCATCATGACACGGGTCCCCTCGTCATATTATTAATTGAACATTATCGTCAGTATCATTATCATTCTTAGTCCCCCGAGTCCGTCTGTGTAAATATGTTAAAATTCCATTACGTTCTCATGTGTCATCGGGTTCAAGTGAAATGCGAACAGTGACGAAACTTCGAGCCCACTGTCGTCGCAGCTTTAAAGCTTGTGTCGCGCTCGGCAAAGTTCAAACACATCGGAGTAGTACATTGCGCTTAGTGTCCTTTGTCACAAATATCACATATTGTCAGCGTAAGTTTTATAATTCTTGTTAGAATTTTACACTGCGCGAATGTGCAGTGCAAGTTTTCATGCGCATTGATTTATGCCAAGTTTTCTTGGTCACAAGTGTTGTGTAATGCCATAAGATGTCAAATAATATTTTCAATTTGAACTATAAATATTCATCCACCTTAGGTTTTATGTTTAATACCTACTCTAACATTCATTTTTGTGTTTAAATGCCTATTTAGGCTTATTAACTTAGTTTTTCCTCGTTTTTGTTAGTCTTTTTGTTTTATTTTCTCGGCTTTCGAGACTGCGACAGATGGCTGATCCGGCCCCTCGATCAAAAAGTTTGGAGATGCCTGACCCTAGACGTACAGTAGAGGTTTCAAACGCCAAAAGCATAGGTTCTTCCCCCGACAACCAAATCTCGTGAAAAACTACTAAGTGCAGCGCACGAAAGCTAAAAATTGCCTTTTACTTTCTGTGTAACAAAGAGTACAGCTTTCTAATGTGCCGACTTTTTCTTGTCGCGAAGACTCCCTCCGACTTTTTCAAGACGAAACAACACGCTTCCGTCAGGGACTGTCCTCGACAGCATGCAGACGAAAAAAACACGCTCCTCTTTGTCGATGTTGCCTTGGAAAGTGACATTCGGTGTTCTTCGTCGATACGCCCGAGACGTATGTTTGTCCTTCACCAAATTTCTTCACTGTTCAAGTGGTACAGAAAGATGGATTATAGTTTTGCGCTATGGAAATCTGATGATGTCGAGCGAGATTGCCTTACTTGTGAACCAAGGTTAGACCGAAGAACAAACAAATTGAAGTCGAGCTGATCGCTGCAGGCACGATGGCGGACTTATCTCTCGACACGCGTCAACCAGGTTCGAAGGATGTTTGCTTTATTTTTTGAACATGCCTACAGGAAACCTCTATGACTTATGCGACAGGACCCTCACACTAGGAATAAACGCGATCCAGAGGGTGTATGCAGACCGCCTTTTCAAATACGATGTATATATAAAAGCATCTTTATTAAATCGATGGGGGAGAAAAAAAAATTAACTTACTTTACTCCTGTAAGTTTACCCACTCAGCATAGCCTTACATTAGCCGAGTCTAATGTGATAAACGTTATTGTTTATTCAATTGCATTTTTATCACACTTTTAAATTTAAATATTCATCTCGCGAGCAACGGCCATTTCAGTTATATTCCATTTTTATTGGCACCTCCAGACTTTTTTTTTCTGGAACTTAGGAAAGCTGTGTAATTTGTACAACGCATGGCGTAAAGAACGCATATGCGCAAAACAGTTCGAGAAAAAAAAAAAAAAGATATATGATTTCCTAACGCTCGAAGGCCACGGCATGAAGTAATTAACACTCCGGATATTGAGATTGCATTGTTCTCTGAACCGATAAAACTCTAATCTATCACGTGACGGATACTGCCAGGACGAGAGCCCGTGTTACCGAAACATATCGTTTCAAATAAAAGGCTCTGCTGGACGGTGAGATCTACACTTCGACGAGACAGCTCCAAGACGATCTCCATAGAGGCCTTCTTTCTCCATCGGAAAAAAGTGTAAAATGTAAGTGATTTTACCAACATTTTTTTGCCCAATACACAAATTGTAAGACCAAGTATTGAAAGTGCTTGAAAACAAAGTTTGTGACAGGGAGTAAGATAATGTAGAGAAATTGCAAAGTATTAAATAGGTCTACTGAGAAATACGAGCCTAATGGACATTAGCCATAATTATGTTATTAATTTAGCAACTGTTAGTTTATTTAAGTGATAGGACACTATACCGAAAACAGGTCACCGGAAGTTGTGAGAAGGACATATTTATACTAATAATAAATAGTCTGAATTAAAAACTTGTACATACACAACTGTACAGCGTCGTGTTCTTGCATTTTATTAGCAAATTCGCTATTCTGCATGGTGCTCTTTCGCTTGCTTTTGTTTACTGGCAATATATAACTGTGGTTACTAAACTTACATAGATAAAAAAAAGTTAATCATTTGTTGAGGTTGAGTATGACACAGGATTTTTAGTGTTTCTTGCGCAGAGATCCAAGCCATGTGGCCCTTGAAGTTTGCGGTGCTGCTTCTGGTCGCGGGTTTGACCTTGGTAATAATACCGACCATACTCTTTTAACTTAGTTTTATACGTACAGCAAACTGTTAAAGAAAATAATCATAATTAAGTTTCATGTGGTTCTTCAAGGCCAACTCCGATGAAGGATGGAAGAACGCCAAGTCGATCTACGAGTTTTCAGCCCTCGACATCGACGGCAACAAAGTTGACTTCAACAAGTACAGGTACGACGTCACCACTATTTTGATTTCTGACAGTCGTCCAATCATACGACCTGTCGCCGACACTAAGGCTGCGTCTGCGCTTTATGACTTGTCCTTTAAAATCCAGCGATACTTTTGCATTTTACTTTCCTTAAAAACGAAATCCAATAAACTGCTGCATTTCAATGGTCTAAAAAGGAACATTATTATGAGGTAGTAATCATTGCAAAAACGTGTAATTTGTACAACATGTTGGCCGCAGGGGTCACGTGACGCTGATCGTTAATGTGGCCTGCAAGTGCCTCCTGACGCAGAAACACTACAAGAAACTGAGTGCGCTCTACCACAAGTACTCGGAATCCAAGGGCTTGCGCATCATGGCTTTCCCCACCAACGACTTTGCCAAGCAGGTCAGGACTATCTCGCACCATCTGTTACTCTATAGTCACGTGACACGACGAGAACGAAGGAGAGGTCCTTCAGTCGTGCCGGCTCCAGGCAATGCTTCACGGCGCGTGCACGCGCAGTCAAAGCACGGCGGAAGGCAGCGAGCGCGTGCTCAGGTCCGGGCGTTTGAGAAAAACGACCCGTCGTTCTCGATTTGTCAGTGATTATACGGGTAGAAACTCAGGGAGAGGAGAAAATGAAAGCTTGCGGGGACCGTCAGATAGGAGCGCCGAACTCTAATTGGAGTGATTAGTGGATGGAAACGAAGGCGGCTGGCCTTTGCGTGTACCCACTAATCCCTCCAATCAGAGCTCGCCGCTCTGACGTTCCCGCGCGCTCTCCTCTCCTCCTCTCCCTCGTCTTCTCTCCGTGTCGAAACTTGGAGAGAGTCGCAATGAGGTTGGAGAGCACGGAAAAGTTTAACGCGGACGGACCCGTGTCCATGGTGTACGCTCGAAGGAACCCTGGGCCGAACCCGAGATCAAGGAGTTCGTGAAGCAGTTCGACGTGACCTTCGACATGTTCAGCAAGATCAGCGTGAATGGGGACAACGCGCACCCGCTCTGGAAGTACCTGAAGGAGAAGCAGCCGGGCTTCCTCTTCAAGTAAGTCACTTTTTTTTAGAGGAGTTAGTGTGTGTTTGTGTGTGATGAAATCTTGAGCCGGCTCTTACACTGCTCACACATCATACAAAAGAGACCGTGCGCGCTGCCGACATGATGGCGACAAGAATCTGGGGACACGCTTAAGGAAGAATGTTAGCTTCGTGAATACGTATGATTCTAACACATGTCTGCGGACAGTTTTTGTATGGCCAATGTGGCAGGGCCGTCATACAAACAAGAAACACCCTTAGAGGAGGTGTGCAGTGTGACCGAGGATTTGGGAATTCTCAAGCTCAAAACAAACAAAACTGTCAAAGGAACTGAAAGTAATCGTATGATGGTGCAAACAGTTACATATACATTATTGAGAGGACGCCAGTGGCTCGTTAGTTTAAATAAAAGTGGTGCTTGTTTCTTTTTTCGTTCGTGCGTTTGCAGCGCCATCAAATGGAACTTCACCAAGTTTCTGGTGGACAAGAACGGACAGCCCGTGAAGCGTTATGCGCCCACCGACTCGTTCGAAGTAAGTGCTCGTCCATTATCACACATGCGAAACTCTCCCCATAACGCAGTTAAGGTTGAGTGTCACAAATAAAAACAAACAAAAAAACCCACTTTATTTAGTGTTTTTCTTTTTGTGCACTAAGAGGTTTCTTTGTGAGCCAACATTTGTTCACGTTGGATCGGCATACGCATTACAATGTTATTTATTTATGGCGTCTTCATGGTTAGAAAATAAATTCGAAATCAGAAATACGGCATACAGATGACTTCGATAGCTTTATCGCTTTTTTTTTTTCCTGTCTATTTCTCTTTCTGCCCTGCTGACATTCGATGCAGTCTAATTACTCCAGCCTGACTGATTGAGAACACACGGGCCAATATGATTAAAAAATGGGTATTAAAAATAATCAAATAAGGATACGAATAAAGTTTCCAATTTTTCCTGGTTTCAGAAAATCGAAGCAGACCTTCTCAAGTACTTTTAGAAGAATGAAGAAGCAAGCCTTATCTGCAACAGCTGGACACTTTCGGAATAAATAAAATAAAATGTTAGTAGATTGTAAGGATATACGGCCTCTCTTATTGGTACACTTTGTATTCTGCGGGCGACGCAGCCATATTTGATGGCTGAAGTACTCGCCCACGTGCCCTACCCCATAACTCTCAACGCCCTTAGAAAAAAGAGGATAAAAAGAAATGAAAGTTCAGTCGTTGTCATTTTACCTGTGTATTTTCCTCCACATCTTTTTTTTTTTTTTTTTTTTTTTTTTTTTTTAAAGCAAGGCAGATACAATGCAGTGGAGTTGTGACTCTGAAACCTGAGAAGTCTTTTTTTCGATGCGATGCCTTATTTCGACGCTGGAGAGGTTTTCCTCAGTTCAGCGAATACAATCTACAAGTACCTAAGTGACATGGGGAAAATATATATATTTATGAATTAACATGGTAAATAAATTTGCACCCTTAACGTCTCTCCTTAACGGTAACAATACAGAACAAGGTAGAGTTCTAAGAGGCACAACAAACAAACTTTAACTTCAGACGCGCATATTCCGACATTTCTTGCATGACTTGCTCACGTATGCTAGGAGGGGTGATCAGAAAGTTTTGCAACTCGCATATAACAAAAACTACCAGGGCTTTGGAAAAGAAATATTTTTCAACATATTCCTCCCTCACACTAATACACTTCTCCCATTTGGCTCGGAGGCGTTTGATATCCTGGCAAAGAAAAACTTTCTGCTGGTCAAGCCACTGCTTTGAGGCAGTTCGCAGTGCACTCAAGTATTCGAACCTTGTTCCTTTAAGGCGTTTCTTTCAGATTCGGGAATTAAAAGAAGTCACTAGGGACCAGATCAGAACTGTAGGGTGGGTGGTCAAGTTCTTCGAAAGCACACTTCCGAATGACAGCCTGGGCAACGCGAGACTTGTGAACGGGGGCGTTGCCATGCAGGAGGACGCCTCTTGTCACCAATCCTCGTCGTTTTTCCACGATGGCCTCACGCAGTTTGCGGAGAACGTTGGCATAGTATTCGCCTGTTATTGTCCTGCTGTTTTCTGGATAATCAATCAGTAGGATTCCTTTTGCGTCCCAAAAAAACTGTCGACATCACTTTCTTCCCCAAGCGTTGCGTCTTGGATTTTTTCAGAACAGGGGGGGGGGGGGGGGGGGGGGGGGGACCCGAATGTTTCCACTGCATAGACTGTTGTTTTGTTTCGAGGTGCGACTGGTAAAGCCACGTCTCATCCCCAGTCACAAGGCGGGCGAGAAAACCTTCTGGGTCGCTTTCATAGATGCTCAAAAGCTACCTTACGAATGCAAGCGGTGCTGTCGATCCTGCGTAGAGAGGTTCCGTGGCACCCATCGTGCCGAGACCTTCGCCATACCCAAAACGTCATGGATGATTGTGAAAGCACTGTCATACGATATGTACAATTGTGTAGCATCTTCGGACACCTTAACTCGGCGATTCTTCATGATGAGGCTCTCAGCTCGAGCTGAATGATCCATAACGGTCGAAGTGCTGGGCCGCCCTGACCTTGGGTCGTCTTGCACGCCTACACGACCGTGTTTAAACTCGAACCAACGAGTTACTGCACCATATGAACGGCATTCATCGCCATACACCTTCACCATTCTACTGTGAATCCTCTTGGCGGAACTCTTTTTTATGCACAAAAACTTTATCACGCTCCGGTACTTAAGCTTGAAATCGGGAGAGGACACCATGTTTAACTGACAGGTGCAGACCAAAAGCGGAATGTGAAGTCTTTATATTACGAACATGTTTGGCTAGAGAGAGGAGCTAACCAACGGTTAGAAAGAAATAACTGTCAGACTTTTGGTAATAGCCGAGTTGCAAACCTTTCTGAACACCCCTCGTATGTCGCCACGACAGCGTTCCGCTATGCTATAGACACTTTGGACACGCACGAGATTACAACCGCCATTTCTGATATTGTCTTATCGAGATACCAAGCCAGCGAAGCGTGCGTTGACGAGCCCTCACAAAGACCAATGCTGGGGAGGACACAGTCGAATCTTTAATGACGATAACCTGTTCTGCTGTTGTAATGATGGAGGGAAGCGATCAAAAGCTTCGCCTTTAAGAGCGGAATGCGATTGCGTTATCGGGCGCCGTTCGCATCGCTTTCTCATTCGCCGTGCAAGCGTACCTTGCGTGACCTATAGACAGATAGCGTGTCTGGTTCGCAACCAAAGGGTCGCGAGTTCAAATCCCGCCTAAAATTCTAATTAATTACTTTATTAAGTGAAATCACTTGAGACATGCAGCGACCCTTAATTCGCATTACATGTCGTGTTTTTTTTTTTTTTTTAAATCACATTCATTCAACGCTTGACGTCACGCTTCCCATAAGCGTTGGGGGTTGCTTAAAATACCCGCGCGGGGTCATGTTGCTCTGACGTCATAACCCTATCGACCAACCAGGATTCGAGTCACGCCACAGAGGCCGGCTTTTCTGCAACACGTTATAATAAGAGGACACACAAACTAACGTTTGGTTATGGCGGGGTTCATTCAGAGCTGCTGCGAAGCGTCCATAACCAAAGCACCATCTTTTCAGAGAGTCACGAGCACTTGAGCTCTCCCCCAGCCTTCCAAACGCTTGTTTGTCCAACAAAAGGAGCTCTCCAAGACGGTGCTGATACAGAGTCGATATCAGCGTCTAACACGAATATATGAAAGCCGTGGCGCACCGACAGGGGGAAAGGGGGAGGGTTAACCGGTCCCCCTCCCAGAGCTTTCTTTTTTTTTACTTGACGCTGAAGGTGGGTTTGGTGAGAGAAACAAGAGAAAAAGAAAATACATTTCTGCCTGACGGGTTGGAACGTTTCCGAAATTCAGTGTGCTTACTTGACTCGCTGCCATCATCGGAGTGTTGGACATTTGTAAGATGCTATACCACATTACGGCTAGTCAGCATACATTCTTATTACGTTGATCTGTAGCACTAAAAGAGGGCTTAGAAAAAAAATCGTATCGGAACAACTGGTCCCAAATGCAAAATAGAAAAAAAAAATCTCACGATCGCAGTGAAACTAAAATACAGTAGGGAGAATTCATTAAATAAAAATATAAGCTATTCCCAGTGATGTGATTGCTGCGCCAATTGCGCCAAACTGCGCCAAGGAGCTAACCCTGCTACATCCTGCTACATTTAGCCAAAATATGGGTAATCTGCGCCAAGCCTGCGCCAAAGGACCAATTTCGGTCGCCTTTCAAAACCGAGACTAAACTAAGAACGTAATTGAGCATGCGTGAGCTAGGTGGCGCAAGGGGCCGCCCGACACAAAATACCCTGTATCCATCTGGTCTTGCATGGTTTTGCCGCCGTCTCGCGTTTCGCGCCTCGTCGTCGCGGGAACCTCGTCTCGCGTCTTTTTTAAACTTTTTCAACGATAGACGCGGGCGTGTGCGGACGCTCCGACGCTAGCGTGCCAGACATACCGTCATGCTGTGAAACAAATCCAAGTTTTTGCGCGACGAGAGTTGCTTTGTGAGCCGAAACGCTGGTCGCGCGACGTCGGGTGTTGCCGTCCCCACGTCGCTGCAGATATGGTGCTTTCTAGACTTGTTCATCGACATTCCTGTCCTTATTTAAATCGTACTCTACTATACAAAAATCCCTCTTTGAAAGGATATTACAACGAAGTTTCGGCGCTTATTTCTTGGTCTATTCGTGTTTAAGGGAGCACTATCACATCAGACACCAATCTCTAGTTGAGAAAGGCACGAAAAGGAATTTTAAAACCAATTAAACGATTAGCAAGGAGCACCTGGTGGATGTCTCTAACGCCTTGTTTGTAATGCCCGTATAGGAACTTTGACATGTATAGACGATAACTGTCTCGCCTCCGGCCACCACGAGAGAAAATTGGAAGGAAGAGGTCCCCTCCTTCCGAGAATGTCCTTTGTGTCTCCCAGAAGTCGCTACTGTCCCCCTACAAGGTTACAGAGGATTAACCCGTCACTCAAAATTCTTACGAAAGCAGCCGCTTCGGTGGCTGGAAATGTTTGGACATCTTCTCGACATCAGCCTCCCCGAAGCTTTGTTCGTTCCGATACGAACTACGTCACGATTGCGGCGAATGTCACGTGTTTTGTGTTGGCTGCTCTCCGAGCGCATGCCAGAATGGGCCGTTTATAAACAAAAATACAGCGATAAGGCTCAAAATACAAATGTGCAATTATCATTTAAGGAAAGTTTGGATCACATTCAACTTATTTCTGAACACGACGGCTGTTTTTCAAATTTCGTGGAAGTGCCCCTTTAATTCAAAGACTGCTTGTCGAAATAATGATTACCTATGTTCCTCTCGGTGGGCTTTCTTTCGAAGGGGACCCCGGTACATGAAAAATTTGCTACGAAAGAAAGTTGGCAAAGAGAAGTGAACTAAAGCAAAGAAGGCAGTGTCTGCACGCTGAACCCTCGCAGCGCGCTTGTTTTTGTCTCGAGTTCAGTCGTTGTACAAAGCGCTTCAAGAAAATTTTTACCCTGGCTCGCGATGTCTTGCATTGATACGCTCAGGTTCTTTTCTCCTGTGTCGTTATATTATACAGTGCTAATCACACTTGTCTATAACGCGCGAGCGTGCGGCGTTCTCCGGGGAGCGCTAGACTGGTGGCATTCGCAGAAACTAAGCTAGTCACGTGGCGCAACATGGAACGGCCCGCTCGAGGGGTGTCCTGCCCACTCTATCAGCTCGGCGAACGCGGTGTCATTGTCGGCGATCAGTGCTTTTGTCCTGCAGGACTCTCTCGATACTATGCGCAGTCCTGTTAAATCTGGTCAATTGATATACTTTGGTTTTTTTCATAGTAGCAAGCCTTATACCAGCTTGATAAGCTATAAAAGTGCTTCGTGATATATTTTGTTTTTGTTTTTTGATGACTACATCGTTGATACGCCTTCATGCTTTAGTTCGTTTATTGTTCGACCAATGATGTTTGTAAAAAGCGTGCGAGCAGCCTTCCGCGTTCGCCGCCAGCTGATAGAGTTGGCAGGACACCCCTTGAGCGGGCCTCCATGTTGCGCCACGTGACTAGCTTAGTTTCTACGACTGCTACCAGTCTAGCGCTCCCCAGAGAAATCCGCACGCTCCTGCGTTATAGACAAGTGTGATTAGCACTGTACCGGTCTGGCAAACACGCGCCGCTGGAGTGTTGTTTTCTCGTATGCTGGCGAGTTACATTTCGCATACTATATTGGGAACCAGTTGGCGACGGAGCGGAGTTCCATTGTTCCGATTTCGATTCAACAGCCGCTGTCTCCGCTTGCGCGACGAAGCACATACCACTGCAAGCCTGCTGATGTTGCCCTCACGTGCATGTGAACATGACTGCACGACAGAGGCACCAGCCGGTACTTTTGCAATTCATTGTTTTACGTTTGCTTACTTTTGACGAAAATCTGGCACGTCGGGAACCAGTAAAACGGTGGCAAGCGTTCTTTTCGGAATCGTTCGGCAACGCTTACAACACTGTACACTTGTGGGATCTCTCAGCAGTAAAAACACAAAAAGCGAGTTCCGTCACAACACAGCACAAAGCGTCCTTCGTTTGTCCAGCACTTAAAACAAAATACAAATTTTTTCTAAGAATTTTTGTTTTAAAAGTTACTTTCGCTACTCCGAAACACGGTTTTGGCTGCTCCAAAAGCCACGTTTCCTTCTCCAAAGCACTGTTCTGGCTGCTCCAGAGCACTGTTCTGGCTGCTCCAAAGGCCACTTTTGCTGCTCCAAAACACTGTTTTGGCTGCTCCAAGAGCTGCTCCAAAATGGCTTAGGCCAATCACATCACTGTATTCCTTTTTTTTTTGCCTATGAAGGAATTTGCGTTGTGCTTTTTTGTACGAAATTGTCATATGGCATATAGGGCCATTGGGGCTTTTATGAAGAATGGAGAAAAGGTGTAATAAAAAGTCAGCAGAATTTACTTGAATATCATTTTCAATTTGTAAAAATAAACACGGCAGTGACGCAAAAATAATTTGTTTACAAGCGACAGAAGTATTGAAAATGTAGAATTTTATTACTATGCTCCTTTACTAAGTGAACCCATTCATACCATACTTTTACTAAACAAATGCACGCCCTTATACCTGTCTAGGCCCATTCACACACAAATTTGTAACCGAAAAAAAAAAAATACATCGATTTGGCGCTCAGTTTAAGTCTGGCTGTCTTCAGATTTTCTCTGTATAGCATTTTTATTCAATGAATGCTTATCTAATGGATAAACATTTGGGACCTGCTAATCCGGAACAAGAGTGTGAGGGTTTTAGAGTGTTTTTTTAAATAAGTGTTGCGGAGACAAATAAGCAGGTGCGGTGAAAGTCCCAAGTATTTTTCTTTTATCTAATATTTTAAAACATTGTTTCGAGAGTAGTTCTTCCTCAATAAGAAGTCTCTTAAAGTTCTGGGTTTCGAACATTTTCTAATAAAAGTCACCTCTCATTTCTATTCTTATTTTTCGTCAGCAGTCATCTACAGCTTGCATGAATTCCTTCTCAATTTGTTTTCTCCTCAAACACAACAGGCAATAAAAACAAATCTACACAAAACAGGCAGGCAGAAATGCTGTGTTCCACCTCATGAGCTCGCGTATAATTGATGAGGATGTCAATTGTTGAAATCTATTGAGGGAACAGCGAGAGCTGTTGCAATGTGCTGCGGGCAGGGCGGATTTAGAGGGGGGGGGTCCGGATGTCCTGACCCCCCTCTTGAGTTCTGCGTGTTTAAAATTTAGGACGTGAAATGAGGGAGAGGGGGAGAGGGTTCCTAAATAAATGGTACGCTATGAGGGAAGAAAAAAACAAAAAAAAAAAACAGACGAAGAAAACAAGATCTTTCTTTCTCTTTCTTTCTCACACACCCACTCCAGCAAATCGATGCAGCGCCACAGGCACTTCTCTGGAAGAGCATGCAGTACACACATTCTGAACCATACACACCATTCCAAACCGGTGTTTAAAAAATAAACACTGAAAAACATTCGCCGATTTTTCACATTAAAAACAGCGGAAAATACACATCCTATATATAATCAATGTCGTGCGCGTGTCTAGTCTGGATCTGGGTAGATATAGCTAACGGTCAAGAGGTCTCGCTGCAGTGAGGAATCACTAACCATGGAGACCCATAATTTGAGGATAAGCTGCTCTTTAAGATTTTGTCGGGCGGATACGAGCACAATGCGGGTTTTCCAGAAATATGGGTTCCAGAGTACATAAAATTGGTACCCTTCCCCTCTTCCTGCTGGCCGAGCGGTGAGAAAAGATGTCTTATATATCAAATGCGAAGCCAAAGTTAATCCACACACACAAAAAAAAATATGTGTTATCTTCCACAAAGTAACCCACAACACTCTTCTCCTTAATATTGTGGTCGTCCTTTGGTACACGTGATCCGTATTCATCGCTTTAAAGCAGGTTCCACCAACGGATCCCAGCTACTGTCTTAGCGCGTTTTCCTAAAGAATACGTTGAAGCGCGATTACTGTGAGCCGAGTCGTCACGCCTTTATTGCAGTATTATATAACGGTGCATAAAAAAAGAGCGGGAGGTGGGGCTCGCCGCCCCCCGCACTTAATAAAACTGTCAAAACTTCCGAGAAACTTGTAAAACAATTATCTAAAAAGTAAATATATGCGCTAGAAATATGCAATTCTTGGGTTGATGTCAGGTGACCGCCCTGAGAAGGGGCTGGCGTTCCCCGCCACGACGGCAGCATCCGGAAGCACAATAAATACCGAGGCAAGAAATCTGTAAACAAAAACAGGAAAACTATATTTAGACAACGCCAAAATGAAGCCGGCAACATTTTATGCGATATACTTTTAGAACCACAGTCAAACTGATCATACGTCATGCGAAGAACACGCCGATCGCTGCAGAAATGACGACAATCATCTGCCACAAGGTGGCGAAAAAAAAAAATCAGCATGAATTATATTGCGAATCTCAATCAGACAGTTTTATTATGACGATTCAAAGGGACACTCAGCTGTTTTTTGTAGAAGTTTTGTTTTGATAGCGTATTGTTTGTTGTTTGTTAGGCTTTAGTCAATAAAAATTACCAGTTCTAGATGGCAAGACATCCTGGTACACTTGCTTGCACTATTTTATCTTGGGGAAGGAAAGAGTTGGGTTGGGGGGGGGGGGGGGGAGAGTTTTTCCGGTTTTCGTTACCTCCACGAAATTTGGCCAATGAAAATACTCAAATACGTGGGGATTTCGAATGTTACTATGATCATGAGCGTACCAACCCGGGGAAGGGGGGGGGGAGGGGCAAGGGGGCCTTGCTTCCCAGTTTTCAGAGTGTGTGTGTGTGTGTGGGGGGGGGGGGGGGGGGGCAAGACATGTGTCCTCTGCGCAGGACGTTCGCGTTGACATTCACGTAGCATATGGTTTTGGCCCTTTCTAGCGTTCATTCAGGTACTGGTTACGTTAAAGGACTAGCACGCCTAAAAGTTAGTCATTTTTTTCTATTTGTATATTTTATTTATAGGCAAATCTAGGAATATGTAATCAATTTAGACCGATATTTATCAAATAAACTGAATTCTTCAGAAGGCACGTTTTTACGCTGATAATGCAATTAACGCAAAGGTGTTAGCGAGGTGGACAATATCCTTATAACCTTAAAATGCGGGCCGTCTACTCTTGTTGGTGTTAAGACTGATGGCAGCTGAGAAAACCAGTTTGCTCTACTGACGTTTAACTCCTGATTAGCTCAGTTGGTAGAGCGCTCCACTGAAAATGGAAATGCCAACACGTCTCGAAAGCTAACAACCCTCAATGTCAACAGTGCTACTCTTTAGCTGTAACCACTAACACGCGGACAGTGACCGCTCCTAGAAGAACTGCTGGAAAATGAAGGTTTAATCGTCGAGCGTGAGCCGGAAACAAAAAAAAAAAAAAAAAGGAACGAGCGTCGAGAAAGTAGCAGTGAGCGTCGGAGGCGGCAGCGGCGAGCGTCGCGGTGTCGGTTGACAGCTGGCTAGAGCAAGAGTGTGAGAGTCAGTCGGCAAGGCTACGCTGTGCTTATCTACTACACACGGTATCTCGAGCTTTCGGCCTAGAATGTTCCAGCGTCAGGCTCGGGCGAGACACTCTGCAAGGTCATGTTGGTCTCCTTATCTTTAACACCCGGTAGGCAGGAAATTCGAGCATCGAACATTCGAGGTAAGAGTAAACGTGAATCTTCTAGCTGCAGCATGGAGTAGCGTTCCTTCTCGGCCGTGGTTGCGGCAACACGCTCTGCTAAACCGCTCCACGATATACAATTACGCTAGGAGTGGCTACAGTAAACGTGTTTGCTCCGCTTCTCAGGAGCCTATTTGCTAAAACAAAAGTCGGAAATAGTGCAGTCACGTTCGTAAATATTTAGTGCACCTACCAGGAGGATCTCGTTGACTAAAAGCGCCGTGGTGCCCATGCGAAAGCCCACGGTGTCGAGGAGGTAGCCGCCCAGGGTGGGGCCCACGAAGGCGCTGCAGCGTTGCGAAAGGGTTCAGCGACGTTAGCCGAGCGAGTCATACATGTTGTGCGGAAGTTCTAGACGGGGGAAGTCAGTCTGCACTCTAAAGCCAGTGTCACGTATGCTCATACATAAATCAAGATACACGGCGATTGCTGCAAACATGATGACAGTATTATCTGCTTACACGCCTCAATCATGTTCAAATCATGTTTGCTTTATCTGCAGAAAGTGTCTGCATACTATCTTTTGTATGTTGTACTTTCACATGCGTGGCCACTACTGAATTGACATCATCTTCAACGTCCGAACGCAAGACAGAGGATCGTATACAAGCAACCATAGCCAATATCTTCTGTGTACAACCATGGCAAATGATAAATGTATCGAGTAAGGTACGACCCCTATAGCCTGGACGTGCATAACGCATATGGCGATATGCGTAATGCACACAGGATCGATGCTCATCCTTTTAGTTTCCGACGAATCATTGCAGTTTTGAATAGCGGCGATAAAACGGAGAGTCGAGTAATGGAAGCCAGAAGTTTTCACTCCACACACTCATCAGATGCCATAAACAGGGTGTGGCCAATTCAAGCACGAATAACCGGATGATTAGTTTTTTTATATATATATATAATCGGCTTGATATTTTCAGGTGGTGTTTACAGCCATATAGAAGGAGGGCGAGCAAAGCTTCAGCCCTGTGAACCAATTTTATACCGCCCAGAACGAAGTAAAGCATAGCTTTGAATGGAATCTGCTGAATAAATCTATCTTTGAGAAATGGTGTTGATAACCATATATTTTTCTGATGGAATGCATACTGGAATACCTGTTGCTGGTTACTATGAAAAGAAATTTTTAGAAAATATGCATTTTCAAATAAAAAGAGATATGATTTTTTTCATCTTTATTAAGTTTTGTAAATTACAATTTTTCATAATAAAGGAACATGAAAATGCAAAATCAAAGTTCATAGTAACCAGCTCCATAATATTTCGGGATATAAGCCGCAAATCTTAAGTCTCTTCATAGTTGCATACAGAAACGATTTGCTGCCAAAAAGTAGATTGGAGAAAAACGCATTCAAAGTGCTCGAACCTCAACCTTTTCTTTAACATTGGTGAACTGAAAATAATTTATAGAAAAATAACTATGCGCTGTTTACAAATGAAATTTTGTGGGAATACTCTCTAGACGTTGGCGGATGTAAATAGGGAATTTTTCAAAATCAACTTTTTTGCTGAATTTGTTTTCTGGGTAGTCAGCGGTGCATCCTTCAATAAAGAATAACAGCGCCAATAACAACTAGAAATAGAAGTACTCGGACCTGGACCACACGCGTGCTTCACTCACCCCATTGAGTGAGATGACGTGAAGACTGATGACACCAGGCCGTACGTCGCCAGGTTGTCAGAAAAGCCGCGGTCCCTGCGTTATACGCCGACAACGTACACAGTCAAACGGTGGTTGGGCGGAATTAAGGTCCAGGCGTTCGTGTCACGCATTTCTTGCATAAAAGTAATGGAGACACATACCGAGGGATTTAAAGTTCACAGGCAGCTTGTCCAAAGATTGTCTTAAAATGGGCGAAAACCAATCGTATCTAAAGGAACACCACCGTCAAAGAAATGATTTTAAAGAAACTTCGAACATAACATCCTCAATTTATAAAACTGAACGAAAAGCATGTCGAGCCATTTATACAGTTCTTACAATATTGAAATATGAGCAAGCACCAACCGACAACACCGCATTTCATTTTATTTATTGTTCCCTCAGGGCCTGAAAGCATGGCGGAGAGGGTAAGAGCAGGGGAAAAAAATTTCGATAACGAAATACAAAGTAGAGGTTAGGCGCAATGAACAGTATTATTATTATCATTATTAATGGCAGTTGTGAACAGTTCTGAGTCTGTAGCGGTGACAATTGTTCCGGGAAGGTGGCTGCACTCCTACGATGTACGGGGACTAAATATGAATTGGGGGGGGGGGGGGGGGGGGGGGGGGGTATGGATTGGTTCTGTAGGATGAATTTATGAAAACAAGTTTTATGAAATAAAGAAAGGCGAGCAACTTTTCGACTGAAGGACAAGGGTGGCAATGGCAGGGTGGTTTTCATGCTGGCCACGCTTGCAGTGCAGTGGTAGTTCGTGAGAATAAAACGAGCAGATCTGTTTTGCTTTCAATGCAAAAAAACGAGTGGTTTGTCCGGGATTTCGACAGAAGGTGCACATTATAGCTTTGAAAGAATTAGAATTTTATAAAGCATACCACAGTTCGGGTTTTTTCTATTTATGATTGTTTCAGCAGTAGCAGAACACGTACAGAGACATGACGAAGACCATGATGGTGCGCTTTTGACGGCGTCTTATTCGTACCTTTAACTCGTAGCGTTTTTAAGCAGCAGCTGCAGGGCGTCGCCACTGCCAACCTTCAGTTTTTGTTTCCTTTTATTCCGTTCATTTCACTTTATGATTACCACAGCAGGACAGTTCGTCGCCATATTAGATTCTATTGTGTCCTTGCCTCAGCTATGGCCTTCTTGAAGGTTCGTAAACGACGCCCGTTTCAGTGGCTTGGCATCTCGGTAAGACATGACAATGTCAGCATTGGCGGCTGTAATCTGGCGCGAGTGCTCTCGGGGCGGCGCCATTTTGTTACGCCCGGGCATGAGAGAGGGCGCACACCCGATACCGATAGCAGACGACAAACCAGCCATTCTTCATTTTTGGGCGGGCAGTACCCGTGGCCTGTACCGAACATCTATCTCTCGCTCGCTGCTGCTGCCCATGTGAAGTGGTTCACGTCTCTAGACCAATTATGACTCCTGTTTTGTTGTTTCATTTCAGTAAACAATCGGCTATAGAGTATGTTCGTTCGGTTACTTGAATAGCAATGGCGTTCAACCGGTAGTACTACCCTCAACCACTGCGTTTATTGCGTCAACAGAAAATAGAATCCTGATCGTACAGTTCTGTCTTGGAAAAAGCCTTGCTTGGTTTTTGTAAAACGCCATGCAAACGTGTTTTTTTTTTTTTTTACATAAAGAGTTTGTTCCGTTTTTTCCGTCCTTTGTGCCTTGGCTTTACACATCAGATAATGGAACATCCGTTGCACCACTAACAATCGCACTAAGGAATGTCAGTTGCCATCATTACAAAATGAAGAAAATACAATATGCAGCGAATCACGAGTGTTCTCAATCAAAATAAACTGACCCGCTGCATTTTAACACAAAACTAAGCCGACCTGCGGAAATTGGGTTTGGCAGTTCCGAGAACGTGGGTGCGATTTCGATCACTTCTAGAGAGAATACAAAAACAAAGGGGGGAATCGCAACAAAGCAATTGAAAGTTGATATGATCGGCAGCAATAATAAAAAAAAAAGATCAAACCAAATAGAAACATTTTTATATATATAAAGCGGGTTCAATATCGGTAAATCTCATTTTTGACGATATTTCAGATTTTATATAAAAATACTCCGTGAAAATAAAGTAAATTCAACTTATGCCTGTCGATAACCCATGCACAGGACTACACCCGCATAGTATTTGGTGAGCGACAAATATAACTCATGAGATGCAAGGCTCTGAATACGCTACCGGATTGTCAAAGAGACCATGTTTGGCACTTTGTACATCAATAAAAAAAACTTTAAAAAAAAACTACTGAAGTATTTTTTTTGAACTAAACAATTGCCGGCATAGTATACAAGCACACAAAAAAAATATTCTAAGTTTTGTATGCTTTCCGTATTCATACCAGCGTACAGAACTGGGCAGAAAAATCACCGAATAAAAAACAGATTTTCACCCTGCGCCACTTAATATTTTTTTGTGAAGCGAGCGTTTTTAAATTATGAAAAGAGTTTTCTTTTACGAAATAGGGGCAATTACATATATTTAAAGAAAAATCGAAACACCCACATCGACAAACGTGTTCAATTTTAAAGGAAACCACCCTACCACAACCAGATTTCTCTTTTCGCCGAAGATGACCGACCAATCACACGGTTTACAAAGTTAAACTCCGTTTTTGTTTTTTTTTTTCTTTTTGCGCGCAGCAGGTGACAGCAGGATTGTGCCAGGTTAGTCTTTTTATCGGGTATATAACACTTTACATTACCTTCCCACATCTAAATCCTCGATTTGAGCGTAATATTGCTGAAATTACGCGATTTTCAACCGCGTTTGCACGCCAACCGGACGTTGCGTACTGCCCAGTCCACGGAGCAGACGACGCGTCGGGGTGAGAGGAGAGGGGGCATCTCCTTCTCTGCCCTTTTTAGCAGAATGGTCATGGATGCAGAATATATTTTTTTTTTCAAAAGTGCGCGCCTCCTAGTAGCAGCCTCACCAATTATCCGAGACCACCATTGTTTGAGCATGCACTCTGAGCATCTATTGGACACGAGTGTGACGTCAGCGTTCGGTGAGGACTCGGATCCAATCACATACTTCGTACCCAAGAAACGGCGACCGCCAATGTTGCTTGACGGGGTTTCGAAAAAGTTTGTTACGCGTTGACGGGAAGAGCTTACAGAGTGTCTCGGAAGGATCCGGCGAAGGAGCAGACGATGGTACCTCCGGAACCGAATCCGAATATCGCCAGGGCAACCATCACGCTCCAGACAGCCCTAAAATAAACGAAATTTTGACATACATAATTGGAAAAACACGATTAAATGCTTATCATACAAAATACGCAATAATGCATAGAGAATGTAGATGAGACGCAACAGCCGCTTGATTCCCTCAAACCACTGTTCATACAGGGTGTTCTTTTGTGTGTTTTTTTTTTTTTAACTTAACAGATTTGTTAAAAAAAGAAAAAAAGCTGTGAAAGTTATACTTACGCGGTTTGTGCAGGTGAGTTATGCGGCTAGTGGGACATAGTATAGGAGGCTAATCGTGACGATCAGTCGACTAATTATTTAAAATCGTTAATTATTTTTAATAATGAAAATATAAATTTGGTTTCAATTAGAAACTTGCTGAGCCTCATCGAAAACCACTAAATCAACTCTTTTTAGAAGGATATAACGCAGCGGCAGTATATTACGGCGTTCCGTAAAAACGCTAAATTTGGACGCGCTTCTAGGTTTCGGTTTCTTATCGGAGCACATCTCTGCGCCCGGGGTCCTGCTCCCCGGTGGCTGAGACGCGCAACACGCGTGCGCCCAACTTCCCTCCACGCTACGAGGGAGGCGAGGGGGTGGCTTTGCGCCGCAACCACCGGGGGGCAGAACCGCGGGCTCAACGACGCGCTCCGATTAGAAACCGAAACCTAGAAAAGCGTCCAAATTTAGCGTTTTTACGGAACGCCGCAATATACTGCGCCTGCGTTATATCCTTCTAAAAGGAGTTGATTTAGTAGTTTTCGGTGACGGCCAACCAATTTTTAGTTAGAACCAGATGTCTATTTTAATCAATTAAAAAGTTGTTTAACGAATTTTAATTAATTAGCCGACTGATCGTTGCGATTAGCCCCCTATATTATGTCCCCCTGGCCGCATAACTCACCTGCACAGACCGCATAAGTGTAACTTTCACGGCTTTTTATACAGAAATCTGTTAAATAAAAACAAAAAAGAAATGAAAACGCCCGGTATATAGCAATTGTTGATGCCGTTATACTTTTTTTTTTTTTTTTTCGTGACGGCTGCCTTGTGTAATTTTGACGTAGCTAAGTCGGGGAAAAAAAGCGAGTCACTTTTTTGCCGACTGGAAGGCACTAAAATTTACGGGGTTTGTGTCAAAAGTTCAACTTTTTTCTTGGCTATACTTTTTATTGCTCTGACGCTTAAACTATTTAAAATAGTTTTTTGTCATGCAACCTCATTACGTTATTATTGCAATGCCGACCAATGAACCTTTGGATGGTGGTGGGCACTGTAAATAAATAAATGAATGACAACCGTCACATAAAAACGGTCCACACTCGGTGACGGGTTAAAGGTGCGATGCAACGATTTCTGTACTTTGAACCAGTATTGCTTCGAACGAATCCTTGAAGTCAAATGACATATAAAACACGTTTTTTTTTTTTTTTTTTTTTTTTTTTTTTTTTTTTACCACACGCAATAAATGCCGCCAAAAAAAAAATATATATGCTCGCTCTTCGCATTGAAATTACACTGCAACAAAGGAGTTTCTTGGTAAGTGGCTTTGCGTACGAGTATACTTCGGTACCACTAGTGCTCGTGTAAAGTGAAAAACATTCCAAGCGAATCATCGTTGCACGGCCCCTTTAGGCGTTCAGGGGAAGCTCTTCCCAACTCTTTCCACTTTCGCAGCAAGAACGCCAGAGTGGAGGTCGCCTCCTTACCAGCGATTGCCCTGCTAGAGTGCAGGAACTTCTCCTGAACTCTTGATTTATCACCGACTATAAATATGTCCGTAATAATAGTCAAAGATAGAGGGGTGACGATTATAAGAAGATTGCTCCATCCTTCTAGAACTTGTGTAAATATAGTAAAAACAAAATCTTTTTTTTTTAATTATTTTGTTTGCGACAGTCATACTCACGTAGGCATGGGAAGGAACGGAGCCGGCCCGAGGAGCAGCAAGGAGGCACAGAGGATCGTGCAGGCAACAATGGCCAATTCTTTTGTGTAATACTGCAACAGGGATGCAAGCGCGTCAGACGCCGCGAATGCAGTATCCTAAAAAATTGGCAGCGACCTTTATCTTCGTAGTATTTAAAAAGCTATCGTTTAAACTTGATGTCTGACGTCATATGACGTCATAACGCCAAGTCACGTGACGCTACCTCTCACAGCCTCACATCCCGCGACGTGTCACACGACGTCACGTTATGACAGCGTGAAGTCACGTTAGATCACGTCGCGCGGGTGTGTAACGTAACACCGTGACGTTACATGGCCTAACGTCACGCCCAGCACTATTCCCCCTCTCCCCTCTCCCCCTCAAGCCCGCCACCCACAGAGCCGTGTATTGGGATAATTTGGCCATTCATTGGTTTGAATAGGCGAGCAGCTCGTGACCAAAAACAGGCCGCGAAACAGCCCCTAGCGGCGGTCGTGAGCTCTAAAAGTGCGACTCCACTAATTTAAGCCGTTTTAGCGTCGTTAGAGTAAGAAAGTATAACTCTTGGGGTGACTGAAAACCTGGTGCATGTGAGGTTTTCGTCACGTCCATATTCAACGGGAGGAATAAACGAACGTGCTCCCCAAGCCAGATCAAACTGTGTAGTTGCGATCACTGCTGCTGATTTGTTATTGACGCCATTGTCACCGAGATGCCGAGATTGAACGCTTCTATTTCACGCTTTAAATGTAGTTTCCAATATTGAGACGTCGCAGTGTGTTGATTGGTCGACGCTGTGTCGCACTTTTGGTTTACGCTCTAATCGCGGAAGGAATATTTGTGGCACTGGCGGAGGCTTTGATCTAAAGCCCCTCAATTCTGGGAAAAGTGGCGCCATTCATTATTGTGGAAATACTGGAGACACGTGTCGCGTGCCACTTCTGGGAAGAACATGGCGTCTGAAATCTAGCTCAGTGCTGCGCTGTGCCGCCGTGATCTTCCCAAGGGCTGCACGTTGCACGTGCCTCGTGCATCGACGCATCTTGCTCTTTTAAAACATGAAGGGGCTTTACTGCCCATTGGCCAAACCCTCCCAATGTACGGCTCTGGCCGCCCGTTGTTTGAAGCACCATTTAGAGGCTGCATTTCAAAACGGTACTTTTCGAAGACGCTAGAGTAACTGAGGTTAATTTGGGAGACGCTACGGTGAAACACCATCTAAATGCAGTACATCAAAACCTGCGCGATTCCAGGTAGCATCGCAGCCGTTCCCGCAAAAACACGGTGACGCGTTGAACGTCGAACCTTGGGGCAAGAAAGAGGACGTTGGTCACTCAACAACGTGACGTTTTGACGTCACGTGGCCCGATTCTCTCGTACCACACGCGCTCACTCCTTGACCTGCCGCGGGGTATGCGCGCAGACGCAGGGCCGAACAAATGTTCATTTGTCCGGTGTATATGAAGGTTCATCGAGGAGAACGGAATCTGCCAATGAGCGTGACTTGCAGTTCTGTCGGCTAACCGGCCCCATATCCAGGCGGTCGAAGCGTAGACGGCGCCGTTGAGCACGAACACGAGGCCCACTTGATATGGCTGCATGTGGAACTGAAACCAAAGAGGCTTCGCCTTAGAGCTCGGCAGTACGACAATCGGAAAAAAACATTAATTACAATTTTCCGATGACGGACGCAGACGAATGTCTCTGCAGCATTGATGTGAGCTTTAAAGCCGAAGTCGCACTGCTTATACATCATACAAAAAGACAGTATGCATACAGATTCGAACGCGAGTCACCGCGACATCCGCGCTTCGAATGCCGCCTGGCAATGAGTTCGAGGAGAAAACTCGGGCACGCGGCATTCGAACCACGGAAATTGCATTGACTCGTGTTTGCAGACGCGTCTTTTGTACGTAGTGATGGGCCGAACTTTTGCTGAATGTTGGGATTCGGCAAATCCGAACATTTCAAAAGATTCGGCAAAAATACATTGTTACCTGACGTTACGTTAATACCTACTTTTTGTTTTTTGGCGGGAAAAACGTTTGATGTCCTTTATTCTTGACTTAAATGCAACATGTTATGTCTACTTACATAGTTATTGCTAAATACGGTGATATCCTACAAGATAATTGTATCGGTGTCGTTTTTGAGTGTTTACTGGCAATTTTAGTGACTTCTTGCAGAAATGGCGTGACAACGATGTTGAGATTTTAACAATGTACACACACTTGCAGGCTTTCCCTGATGAGGCCTCAAAACCTAAACTCTCGTAGCGTGATTCGTGAGTGCGCCCGGTCATTACGAGTTTCGGTTTTCATCAGGGAAGCCTGCAAGTGTGTGTACATCGTTAATGTAAAGGCAATAACACTGCGTTCTTACTTTTTTTGGGGAGTTGCTGTTTCGTGGGCGAAAACGAATGCAACAGTTGCTGAGCCTTCAACAATATTATTGTAGATATGCCCGTTTTTTTCGATTTGAGTCACATGATGTCAGCTTTGCATGAAAAGGTGCGTCCCATATTCGCAATGTCTCGTTTTTAACCTTTGAAATGCCGGTTTCTGGTGTTAGGACACACACGGACGTTTAGGAAGACGGGAAGAGTTAGGAATGTTGGATGTGCAACTTCGAGCATGATAGCTTTGTGTTTAGTTTTATGCACATACATGAAAACCGCGAAATAACGCTAATTCAAAAACTATATTTTGTTTTGGCACAAACTACTTGTGAGCCGAAAACAGGATTGTTATAATTGCGAGGAGTGCTTTAAAGTAATTGTCAGTCAATGTTTCAGCTACCTCGTTGCATCACTGGAAAGGTCAAATGAAAATCACGTTATCCTGAATGTACCGCATTATTTGTCACTTGCGCAGTGGACTGCGTAATGTACTGGTCGATCTTCTGTTCTTCAAGCAGAAAATATTGAAGAGAACCACATTCGCGAAGGCTCACGAACACACAATTACCGTGTTGCGTACTCCACGCCTCGCCGTAACCGTTGGCTATACTACACTGTACGATGGTAACCGCACGACCGCACGGCGCCCATTTGCAATCTATGAGCCCGTCGCATTCTTGCGCGTGCGCAGACATTTGTCGAATGTTTGCCGAATCTTTGCCGAACTTTGCCGAGTCTGAAGTTCGGCAGATTCGGTCCATGACTACTGCTAACACACCATACAGACAACAGTCTGCAGACAGTAGGGAGTTTTAAAGAACCGTTTTGGCACGTCCGATACGATATGAACTGCGCATGCAGGAGTCTCGCGCAGACCGGGGGGGGGGGGGGGGGGGGCATTATATCGGATGTGCAAAAACGGCTCCCTAAAACTATTGTCTGCGGCGTGTTTCTTCCTTGTATGACGGTTTCTGTCGCATACGTATACGCACGTAGCAGACATGTTTCGAACTAGGCTCTCGAAACGTCTGGGCAAGATAACCCTATATCCGCACCTCCAAACGGTAGTTCCAAGATGGCGGAAGAGACGGGGATAGATTTTCCACTCACCTGCTCGCTGACGCTGGTCGGTGTACCTAAATTATTTTTATTTGGCTTCAATGCTAAAAGGGTATAGGGCAGGAGCGTATCACAGGTGACGGAGAAGTGCATGTGCGTTAGGAAAACGAGCACGTTTTCTAGAAGTTGAGGAAACATCACAGAACTTGTTTAATGCTTTGGGGAGGGCGAGGGCATTTTGAGAGCCAGACACGTCATTGTGTGCCGGAAAAAAGAAAAACGTTTGTGTTAGGTGAAAATATTACGGTGTTTGCGCTGTGCGTAGCTACTAGTTCTCTAAAACCTGAGCTGCGCGCGGGGTGACCTTCAAGGTCCTGTAGAGCAGCGATGGCAGTGTCTCTGGGTCAGAGGTTCACAACTCATCACACGCCGCCGCGGTTCTAGTGAATTGCAACACGTGACCATTCTGCGCCAATTGGTTACTAATTGACAGTTTCAGCCTATAGCGTAACCGCAGTCTACCGTAAGCTAAGGCACTACGACCAGCAAAACGCTGCGAGCCTTTCTCTATGACTTTGTAATTGACTGTTCCAGAAGTGCTTGGAGCGAACTGTTGTGTTCCTTGTCATGGCCTTTCAGCGCATAAAATGCGAACCCATTCCCGGTGTCTATCGCTGGGCACACCTCTGCGCGCGCAGGTTTCCCCTATTTTAGAAAAGTTAAAGTTAAATTTGGGGGTTCTACGTGCCAAACCAACGACGGGCATCTGGCACGCCCCAGCGGAGGACTGAGGATTAATTTCGACCACCTGGGGATCTTTTGACGTGCAACCGAAAGCTCGGTTACACGGCGCCTTCTCCGCAATAAGCCTCCGTCAGATTGCGGGCACCTCGGTCGGGATTCGAACCCGCCACCTGGGGATCCGTAGGCCGGCGCTCTCGCCTCCCCTATTTTAGAGAATTGACTTTTCGTAAACCGTACACGCAAGGGCAGCGTACTACTTGCAAGAGCTTTCGCCGTCCCGTTGAGCACAGATTGTGCTGGCGACCGCAGGACCGGACATCCACGGCGTATGCGATCTGGATTATCTATACAATAATCCCGATCGAAACGGGCAGGGGTGGGGATGGAACCCAGGATCCCTGGATCATCGTCATCTCGTAAGATATATATATAGTGCTAAGGGTTCCTACGCGTGTCTGTCATATCATGAGAGTGTATACACCAACTCAACACTCCGACGTCACGACGCCGTGGTGGCGCTGCCGTCCACATCTGCGCTTGCGCGGACGCTTCATCTCACGCGAATCCGGTTGCTGTGCAAGCGCAATGTGCCTGCACCCACGGTGCTGCACCCGATGTGGGCACTGCGCGAAATTGTGCGTACCTGTCTCAGGTGCGGTTCCAAGGCGGCGGCGTTGTAACCGATTATCACGAAGGTGCCGAAAACGCAGTACGCGTCGAGAATAACTCCAAGGTTCCACCAGAACTTGAGAAGGTTGCCCGTCCTACGGCTTGGAGTATCGTCTAAAAGAGGAAGTAAAAAAAATAAAATAAAAAGCAGATGTTTAAAAAGTGTTTGTCACGCTTTATCTCGTTACGGCGTTTCCGCGGAGTGCATTCCACACGGCCAAGATAAGCCCGCTTCGCGTGGTGTGCGATTTTCCTTGGAAATTATTTTGCGGCCACGACGTTAAACATCACACCATGCTTTTTCTTTACCTTTTTGCTTTACGAGCGACGTCGAAACTGCGGAATCGCAAGTAAAATCGCACCGTGTCAATCGGGTAGAAGCCATTTTTAGCAGACGACAAGTTTGAGCCCGTTCTGAGCGTACACCGTGGATTGCCGTGTTCGTCGGAATCCAATAAATACCACCTGTATGAGGTCACGTATGAATATCACTTCGACCCAGGTATTGGGCTTACCTGTCGGTGGCAGCAGCCAGTAAACGAGAAAGTTGCAGACCAGCATCAATGACCCCGTGGCCACAAAGGGCAATTCAAAGCCGCCCAGCTGAAGATAAAAAGAAATTTCGCGCCATCACCTGGAGTCATCGGCGTAGAAATGAGTCACAAAACCAAGAGCGCGCAACAAAATAGATCATTCGGGGTCAAAGCCAAGTCGCAGAAGGAGGGAGCTCCAGTGTATATTAAGCTTCAAAGTGGAAAAATGTTTTTTTTTTTTAAATAAAATAAATCAGATTTCTTTTATTTAAAATATTTATATTAATTTTATTTTAATTAGTGGAGCTAGAAAATAGTGATTCTTTACCACTAGATGCATCTTTCGAAATGAAGGATTGATTAATCAATTCGTCCCATCACTGATAACAAGGCAGACGAAAGAATAAATGTAAAACTAAGGTTTAATTGAAAACTTTCATTGATATATAGCTGGTTTGTTTAGTTAGTTGCTAGCTTGCTTTTTATTTCGCATATAGACTTCAATAAGGAGACTTCTCTAGCTCCCGTTTCATTCTTTTGCGTTCTTATTTTGTTGCAACAGCACGTTGCGTTGCTGATGAACGAAGTTGGAAGGTGGATATCAAGCTCAGCGCTGCGATTTGCTCAGGAGAGCACACCTTGTTCGTGTTTAACCATAAATGAATCTTTCTTACCTAATGATTCATTTATTTGAATAAAAAACTAATGTTCATAGAAAGCATCAAATATGACAGACAAACGGAAAATAAAAAGAAATCATTTGGGTGATTTTTGCGGGAAAGGTATGATTTAAACTGGCAGAGTAAATCTGGTCCGACTTAAATCCCCGATTTAAATCATCAGCTTAGCTTCGACTACTCCGCAAGGGTTTTTCATATACTTCCAAATTTGGGGAGCAAATTGTAAGACGTGTGTTCTGCCTTACCCAAGTTTGCCATTTATAAATATAATACCGGAGATAACTACAAATCGTGCGTGTTATCTGCACTTTGCGGGACTGCTAACTCGAACATCCCATCGGTGTCTTCTTTTCATTTTCTGTTTTATTTGAAGTAGTGAAAAGCTGCCATGAAAACTATTAGTGTGGTGGAAATGGCCCATCTGGGGGTCTAACCTATGTGGTGAAAATTGATGCTCACCGGTATACACCCTTCCGAAATAAAAGTCGAAAATACGCCGATGTTGTGTTCGCGCTAACAGCGCCGATAGAACTGGCGAACGTCGGTGGAATTCAGGTGTTTCGAAATGAACTCCGTCCCTGTCCGTTTTGATCTAAATAAGCATCCTGCCGGCGAGCATTGGTATATTCCAGGCGTCAATAGTAGTGTCGAGATAGACTAGAGTGCAGATTTGTAGTGGTGTCATGCATGAGTCAAAACAGACGAGACATGACTGGTTACATTTAGACTCGGCAAAATTCGAACCAAACCTGGTAAAGGCAACCTCCAACCGTAGGTCCAGCGACAAGTCCCGCACCAAATACCGTCTGCTGAATCGACTGTGGGCACAAAGGAGAAACATCATGACAAATGTAAGTTACTTTTCACTCGCTCGTGGCCTGTGAAAATACAAACGCTATCTCGAAGGGGAAAAAAAAGGAGGTTTATTCGTAGAATTAATATAATAATCTAGAGGGAACCATCCCATGCACTGCGTCCGCTTCAGAACGGCGGGACACAGACGCGGAAAACTCTGACCCCATGGGTGTTCCCGATGAGACCAGATCACTGGCGAAGCTTTAATATACAGAAAATATGCAGCAAAACATCACCCGTAACGATCGCGTCTAGTTATTTTCCGCTTGCGTCGCAGGAAAACACCGGCACCGCGCGTTGTATAAACATAAATAAATGACAACCGCTCGAACAACTTCCAACTCGTCGGAACTAAAACAAAGACGCCTCACCTGTTTTCTGCTTTCTTTTCCTCAGTCAGTGAGTCAGAGTATTGGGAGGAGAAAATCAAAAGAAGTGTTGCTGAGCCGGAAGCTCAATATGTCACCTTTTCTTTTCCTCTGCTCTTTTGTCGCTCTTTTTATCTCTGGACCGCAGATGTCAGCGCTCATAATTTGCCGCGTTCTGCTCCCGTCTCTACCCCCCCGGCTATTCAATTTCTTAAAAAAAAAAAAATTAGTTGACAACAGCACGGGACCGCGTAACTCAACTTGTGATACAACAAAGCCTTTTTGTTTTCTGTGTAGCACGATTTAGCCACTTTCCGCAGTAACCCATGTTGATCAACTTGTTACTTTGGTCAGCTGGGAACAATCAGTCGCAAACCTCCCGAGCGCTTATCCTCCAGACAAAAAAAACAAGAAAAACGTCCCTGGGCAGTTGACGCATGCGCGACGTGTCCCATTCCGCAGAAGAAAGCTAGTGCGCATGCTCCAAGCACGTTCCACAGCCAAGCAGGCAAAAGATGGCTGCGCGCAGAAGGCAAACATCGGAACGCGTCTACACAACCAGGTGTATCTGACACGTCCGGGAACAGCGCTTGTTGTCGTTTTTCTGCAGACGAGGAGCAGAGTCGCCCCTTTCGACGCTTTAATATACTTTAGTTACCAATCTTAACCGCAGTTAAGTCACCCTTCACTTCTTTACACTTCACCAGAGTTACCACATTATGCGCCGAGAAGGTGAGGAAGAAGAGGAGACGCGAGCGCACATGCCTTTGTCTCCAGTGCACTCGTCGAACGCGTCCGAATGCGAGAGCCAATCCCCGGACGCCTGCGTCCCGCGTTCTAATGCGTTCGACGAGTGCAGTGAAGGCAATGGCAGCTTTGGGTCTACCCACTAATCGCTCCAATCAGAGCCCGCCGTTCTGACATCCCCACGCTCTCTCTCGGCGCATACTTTCGGAAAGCTATTTCAAAAGGAGTGAAGAGTGCGCGTGAGAACTTCGACGGGCGCTCACATGCGACCGTTGCTTTGACTGCATATAGCCACAGAAGGTTATCCAAGATTACAATGTTGTAACTGTGGTTAAGCGTAACTGCAGTTAAGCATGCCCGTGTAATTATAGGGTGTAATTTCCCCTTCCGGAAAAATGTGGCGCCCCCGCTGTCTGCCATGAGCATTCTGACGTACGGCAAGTCGTGAGGTTATCCCGGAATCAAAGCAGAAGCTGACGTTGGTTTATTATTTTGTGACTTCCAAACGCAGAGATTGCAAAAGGAAAGCAAAGCAGAGTATAGGTGATCGTCTCCTTTTGTGCTAGCTTTACTTTTTGTGCGTTTTAAGCTCACCGTGTTAAAAAAAAGAAAAGAGTAAATCGTGCCGCTTCCGGGATACACGAAGTGTTCGAGTCGGCACGAGCGTACACCCGAACTATGCAATTCTCGTTGCTGCCAGGTCCCCTCGGATTTTTTCCGGAAAATGTCTAATTCGCGGGTCAGCAAATTTCAAGTTTTGCCTCTTTATGCCCAAGTGGTGTCGCCACTTTGGCTTTGTCAGGTGTTGTCAGGCAATTGGACGGCTGAACTGAATGGAGCGAACAACCGACAGACTTCGCTCGGTGGCACATTTGCTTTGTGCGTAGTGTCAACTAATATCACGCATACTTCGTTTTACCTTAAGTCCAGACGCAGCCGACGCTATAGGAGCTGATGGGATCAATGAGATAGCGTCAAAAAGAAACCATCATGATGTTCGTCATGATTTTTTTTAAAGCGTTCTATCATCTCTGAACCAATCATAGCCAAAAAGGTCCAGTAGCTTGCGCTTTCGACTGTTCCGATTAGCTCTAGCGTGGGCTGCCTCTGGACTTATACCCCATTCACACGACCGTAAAGGTGCCTTTAGCTAAGGGACCTTTATTCTCTGCGGTCAACCAATTAACGATCTTCCGCGCGTGGCGTGTGCTTGCGACCCAAGAGCACGGGCTGATTCGCCGACAGCAGAGGTACCTATGTTAAAGGTACCTTTATGTTGACTGTGTAAATGGGGTATTAAGCTGATACGAAGTATAGAAGACAAGGCTTGTCCATTGCGCCATCATCCTTGCCTTGTCTTCTAAGAGGTATTGTGTCAACAATCACTGCTCCGACGCCCGCACGCAGTGCGAAGTGTGAACGCCGCGGCGGGAGAAATGAGTCGCTTTTTTCGCAGCATGGTCGCTTCATTGAGGCCAGCTTTTATTAAAGGCGGCAGCGGAAGTTCCGGGCACAAATATAACCTTATACAGAAAACAAAAAAGCACACTGGGAAAACTCTGAATGTCGAAGTAAACGTTTTTTGTTTTGTATTTTTTTATATACGAAGCGATTTCACTCAGATACCCATTATTCTGATTGTCAGATGTAGCGAGTGATTCACATTGTGAACACTTTAGCGTAACTCTCGGTAATGCGGGAAATATTTCTCTTTTTTTTTTTAGTTGCGCATGCGTGGGAACTAGGTTATTACTGCACTTCTAAGGTACGCCCATAGCTGCTTTCAAGTAGAACTTTATTCATTTATTTGTCCTTATTCCGAACACGCCAATACCAGAAAGACGCGCCCATACAATAGACAATATATATATATATATATATATATATATATATATATATATATATATATATATATATATATATATATATATATATATATATATATATATATATATATATATATATAGCAAAAAACAAAAACACAATGGAATGAACATTGCCGCGCATAAGAACTACCGCTTCCTCATTCGACGCGCCGCGGGCGCCAATGCCGACCGTCAGCACTTCCAGGCCCAATCCAACTTTAGAAAGACAGCCTTATAGAAACACGCACGCACGCTGTTGCGTGCGACGTTCATACAAACCTTTCTTGAGCGCGCTTAATCGCAATCCAAAGAAAGAAAAAAAGAAGAAAAATAAAGAAATACTTTTGATTTTTGGGGACAACTTCGCGCGTATACAACCGAACAAAAATGGAGGAAGTTCTGGGCGTCGGTCATCGACGGTGGCCTCGATCACTCTCCCCTAGAAGACACAGGTCTGCGCATGACGTCGTCCTTAGTGAATACACGACGCGCCCCAAGCGGCAAACGCGCTGAAGCATCGACGAGAGCCTTTGCGGCAGACGCGCTTGTCTTGGCGTCGTCCAGCGCTAGCATCGCGCTCGAGGCGCCGATAGACGCACTGCTGCTCCACGTTCCTGTCATTCATCAACGGTTGGCGGAACAAGCGACCTGATTTATCACGACATAAGTGCAGCGTTACAAAAAAAAAAAACGTAAAAAAAAAGCCCGTCACGCGAACAATCTTTCGCTTCAATTTGGCGTCTTCCGCAAAATTTGGCGGACGGCTGATCACGAGGGGTCATCAGAGTGACGTCGTCACTCACGTGACCGTGGCACCAGTCGATGGAACGACGCCATCTGATTTCGTGGTCACGTGATGTTGATGTCACGTGACGTCATCTCAATGGCTAGCGTAAAAGATCACCCGACCGTAGCGAGAACCAGCTCGACGCAGCTCAAAACCCCCTGCACATTCTGTGGATAGGCAAGTTTTCAAGTGATGAAATACTAATGTTGGAGATATAGCTTGAGGTCAGCTACGACCCCCCACATTTCTATTTGTGTTTCTGACTAAGATTCCATTATATCCTTTCTTTTTTTTCTTTTTTTTTTTAGAAGTGTACATTAAGATTGGCTCACGTATGCGGTGGCCAGGTTCTCCGGAAACTCGGCAGCGATGATGGTGAACACGGCAGTCTGGAAGCCCGCGGTGCCCACGCCCTCGACGATTCTGGTGGCGATAGCCAAGCCCAGGAAGGAAGCCCCTGGGGGGCACATGTTCAGAAACCTGCGAGCAATTCCTGCATGAATCTATTTCTCTACGATGGCCGGTCATCTCATTCCGGCTGAAGTGTCCATTTGGCCGAAGCCTCAATTTGGCTAAGAGCACAAATTCGCTTGGACGCTACGGTTCAGTTCAAAGTCCAACTTGGCTAGAATCTTCAATTCGGCCAGAATGCTCCAATAGATCTCTCCTTCTCAAAAGTGCGCGCCATCTAGCAGCTGCTGTTCTAATTACCCAAATCCGCCATTGTTTGGGCACGTGCTCCGAGTTTATATTGGACACGAGCGTTGCGTCAACGATCGGCAACTACACGGAAAACGTCCGCGTTCGGCGAAAACTCGTATCTAAGCACGTGCACGCTTCGTAGCAAACAAAATGGCGACTACCAAAGCTGCTTGATGAACTTGAAAACGGTCCATTCGGCTAAATGACCAGTTTGGCTGGAATCTTCAATTTGGCGGGATGCTTCGGTTTGGCTCAAACTTTTCGGTTTGGCGGGAATGTTTTCAGCCAAATTAAGCCATCAGCCGAATCCAGATTGATACTATAAACTTTAGGACTTTTTATGTCGCAAATCCCTGCGAACATTGCTTCGATGGAAGTTGCGAGGCATCTGTACCGATGTCAATAAAGCACACAGCCGTGCAGTTTGCGCAGATACCGATACGAGTCAGATTCTCATTTCCTTGTTAGCTTTACCTGTGATCTGAGCGCAAGCTTTGTTTAATTTTTTTTTTTTCGTGAAATTTTTATATTTTATGGTTGAAACTTGAAAGCACCAATTCGGTTGTAGTACAGTCGTGATCAAAAGAAATACGAACAGCGGAGCTCATTACCATCCTGAGCCTGCAGAACCTTCTAGCGGAACTCGTTTGCACTCCACCGACAAAACTATTACAATTTAGCGGTGTTTCCAGTCATGGTGTTATCATTACTCTTAGATACACGTGGCGCGACACTCGCTGTTTTGATGGTAGGCACACAAAGGGCTGTCAGTGATTGCGTTAATTAGAACAAAAGCACACAATATTGAGCATTGTCATCTGCAGAGTAAAGGAATCTCACGGCATGTTTTTTTTTTCTTTTTTTTTCGGAATCAACAAGGGTTTTTTATGACCACATAGTGATTGCATTAATAGCGCACAAGCTACGGGGCTATAGTAAGTTACAGGTTAAGAGGGTAGCGGCAAATGCCCCTCAAAGGGAATCATATATCCCTCCGCCACCTCCGCATCCAATAGCGTCCCATCGTTTCCGTGACGTCACGGCCAACGCGCGAGGAGGGTTTTGCCTTTCTGTACATATTTGCTTTATCTTTCGGCTTTGACTTAGCATTGCGGAAGCCACGAGAGTGAGATTAGAGTTTTCCCCCTCCGATAGAAACAAATACAACTTTCGGGGATTAGCTTCCCCCTCTGATGGATACAAAGGCTGATATCAGGGGCTCGGTTCCCCCTCCACTGAATACAAAGATCGCTTTCGTAAAAACTGGGGGTCGAAGACAAGTTGACACCACTCTGTGGGCATTATCTATCCATTGAAGCGGAACAAGGAGCGTTTCCAGTGAACTCTTCTTTCGACTGCGGAGTGATTTCAAACGGGCGCATCACGCTTGTGGGAGGAGTTTCTTCTACCGTCTTGACTTGTAACCGATTAGTTCGGTTACAAGTCAGTGGCGTCGTTCTCCAGTAGATTACTGGAGAACGACGCCACTTCTAGACGGAATTGAAATGGCTTCAATCCAATGACTAAGCCGAATATGTCGATAAAATGCCCATCTACTCAGGCTGAAATATGAGTAGCCCCGAAACCTTATGAAGATGCATTATTCTCGCAGTCGGCCTCTCAAGAGAATTACGCAAAAGCAGCGCCGTTGGCGGTGAATCACAGAGATAAAATTCGTTGCGATAATAGCAAACAAAGATAACACGATCTCTCGCTTTAAACACTTCCCGCATTCGTCGCTATGAGGCACCAAAGATACCTGTGGTCGCCCCTCTGTTGTTCGTATTTCTTTCGACCATGACAGTACGTGAAACATTCGAATTCGATTCTCTGTTTTGATCTTTGTCTCGTTAAAACTGCAAACTACCATAATTCCAGTTGAACGAAGGACGAAAACAAAAAATCTCAAGTTTTCTTTTTTTTTTTTATTGTTTTAGGCGACTTGATTAAATACTGTCGGGAATAACAAGAAAACACTGCGCGATTTCTCGTTCCAGGGATTCGCAGAATCTGGAATAGTTCGAAAGTTCCGTAAAAATCGCTTAAATTAAAAACAAAAACAGAAAAAAAAACAATGTCGGACGATTACAAGGCAAACAAGTAGACTGGCTCTCCGCCTTCATTCCCCGTACTGCCTTTATTCTTTCGAACTGAAGTTATCGTTAGGTTAATTTAATGGATGTCTCTTAGCGCTGCATGGCAGCTGTAGCTTTCGACTAACTAATATATTTTGTTCTGCAAGCTCGCCTCTTGTTTGGTGCCTACAAGATAATACAAACCGAAGTAATACAGCTTTTCGTACAAAAAAAAAGAAAAAAAACGTTATGCCAAATTGCACACCCGCCTTGTTGCCACAACGACCGCGTCATACACATTTGCCTTCTTGGATGCCATTTATTCTTCTCTGGCCCGTGTCGTCCGCTCGTTGCCCCGAGTGAGTGCGTTAAAAATCTTACATTCACACGAAAGACACGGGTGTTCATGCAGGCAGGATGACAGAGTTATTTGCGGACGCACCTCCAGCACGTTCACCGAACGTTAGCTCCACACATACGTGTATGCTCCGAACGTGTCTGCGGACAGTCTTTGAACGACATAATGAAGAGTCTTAGGGAACCGTTTTTGCACACTCGATACGGTATACGATGGGCCCTCCGGTACGAACTGCGCATGTGCGAGTCTTCTGTGGTATGGCGCATGCGCAGTTCGTACCGGGGGGCCCATCGTATACCGTATCGGATGTGACGAAAACGGCCCCCTAAAACTCACTAATGTCTGCAGACTGTCTCTATTTTATACGCTTTATTAGCTGTGTGACCGCGACTTTATGTAAACCGTCGAGACCGGTTATAACGAAGTCGGCTATAACGAAATGGCGGCTACAGCGAAGCGATTACGATTTCCCATTCCCTTTTGCACTTCGTTATAAACGAAGTCGGTTATATCGATATAGCGAAGTGATTTTCGATTCCCGTTGACTTCGTCACATCCGGTCTCGACAGTATGCGCGTTTGACTTCGTTTCGCGCAGCGTCCTGCGGCTGCTCTATCGCTCTTTGCACCGCGCAACGCGACACTTCGCACGAAATACGACAGCTTTCGATAGATTTCTTTCTACTGCAGTGCTGAGACTCACCCGAAAAGAACGGACGCAGACCCCACGAAGAAGAGCCCAGCCAACAGCATAAAACGTGGAGTCACTATGGGAACCTGCGCGGGAGGTGACGTCGCAAACAGGACCAATGAGAAATGGGTGATGGGTCACACGATCGGTATAATTCTGTGCTTTCTCTTTGTTTCCTCCAGGTGTTTCGATGCCGCTGGAGCTATACATAATATAGTTGCCGAAGCCGACTCCAGGCGCTGAATCTTGAAGTCACACACAGCTGCTTGTATACATCGTACTAAATATGTATATTTCGAACCCGTCGGAATACAAGTTTTTGTACGACCAATATGGACCATCATACAAGAAATAAAGGCGCCTAAGGACAGTCTCCGTTAATTGCCTTTTGCACGACGTACCTGGTGTTTGTGAGAAATCTGAACCCGGCTTTTCGCACCGCAAAAGTAAACTAGACATTGCTGGGAGCTCCAACTCAGTCAGAACGTACCCCCAGCCGTTCGAGGAAAATGCCAAAGTTTCAGCACCAACCGTTATCTTCATCAAACGTTATAAATAAGCGATTTTCTGAAAATTTCGATGGAAAAATAGTGGCCGACGGTACTCTCGAATACATGGAGTTCTATGGCGCCAGACACCGAAAACGGGCAAAACTGGGCCCCATTTTTCTATTGAAAATTAGAAAAAAAATCGCATAACTTTTGAACAAAATAACGGTTGGAGCCGACACTTTGGCGACTTGCTCGAATGGCTGGGGCTACGTTCTGACTGAGTTTGAACTCTCCACGATGCTATAGTTTATGTTTGCGGTGCGAAAAGCCGGGTTCGGATTTCTCACAAACACGCGATATATTAGCAGTGGTTTAAGTCATTTTATTAGCGATCGACACTTGGTTACTCACAATCTTAGCAAAGATGGGGCCCACGATGAAGATGGTCAATTCGAAGACGCTGAACACGAACCCGCATTGGACGGACGACACTCCTTTCACCTCCGCCTGCGCCAGAATCACGCGACATCGCAGTTCGCCGTCCGTCGTCCAAAATAATCGGAACGGACGAAAAGAACGACCCCCTCAAAACAAGGCCTGGTCTTTTCCCTCCTGAACGTCGTCACCAGTGGATCCACAAAGCGGCGCCCAGCTCGCGTCAGCATCACTGGCAGAGCGTCTCGCAGAGTCTCACAACGAACGAGACGCTAGAAATGCAAGTTCGTCTGCTTCTTTTCGCATTGGTTATGATGACGTCAGAACGCCGAGCTCTGATTGGCTCTGATTGAAGGATAGTGGGTAGAGGTCAAAGCAAGCATGCCTCGAGGTCTACCCACTGTCCTTCATTCAGAGCCAATCAGAACTCAGCGTTTGACGTCACCACAACCCCTGCAAAAGAGAAGCAGACGAACTTGCGTTTCGCATAGCACGCATGCGTGGCCAGAGACATATGCGCCTGCCGCTTCGCGGCGACTCTCGCCGAGCTTTAGCGTGTTTTCCGCTCGGGCCCGGATCGGCGATCCACGAACAATGACATCATTCGTTGTCTCCCAGGTGGCATCGGTCCGACACCTCGAGACCCGCATCCGCGCTTACCTCGTGTGGAAAGAAGGGCGCTTGTAAGGACACGCTGGCTCCGACGCAGAAGTTCCCCAGCGCCAAGAGGACAAGAATCGCGCGCTGCCGGGCCGGACTTATCCCGACAGGATAGGCGTACGGCTGTTCAGGACCTTCGCTCTGGACGGCCTGGGCTTCAGCGTCGTCGACATCACCCGCGGAGCGTACCGCTCGTCTCCTGGCCACGCGAGCTCTGGCTTCTTGCAGACTCGTCTGGAGCTCCCGAGGCGACGATACCTCTTGCACGGTTGGACAAGCTTCCATCAGGGCCGTTTCGTCTATCATTTTTGGCTCGCCGCTGCGTCTGTGGCTCCGAGAACGAGGGCGCGAGCTCTTGTGTCTCGGGAGATTGTCTAAAAAGGGGCGCGGCGCTATCCCCGGGCTATCCGGCGGTGTTCTGTCTTCGCTGTGGTTCAATAGTCGACTATCGATCACGTGGTATATTGGCGGAAGCGGAAATAAGAAGATAGTAGGGATGAACTGCTTCGTCATGTCACTATCACTAGGTGTTCTATACTTCGTTTCACCAAAGTTCTGAACGCAGTCGACGCAGCGAGCCGATGTCACCAATCAAACAGCGCCAAAAGCGCAACGTCATGGCGTTCGTCGTGTTTCTTTTCTACGTGTTCTATCATCTGCAAAGCAAATCAAGCTCAGTGATTGCCCGTTGGCTTGCGGTTTTAATGCGCGATGTGCGTGTAGGTGTTTGTATCTGTTTGAGGCCTTCGACCGCGCGCGGACTTCAAACGAAGCATAGTCCGTATTACAACTCAATCTAAAAGTTATTTTTTTTTTTGCGCTGTAAGTAGGGGATTTAGAAAGATAGGTTGCGCTTAATTTTATACAAACTATAATTATAGGCAGAATGATTGATTGTGTCAACAACAGTAGATTTAGGCGCCTAAATGGTAATTCTAAAAAAAAAATCTTGGCATGTGTAGAATTGCTGCTCAACTAGTTCCAATTGATTTTAAAGATGTTTCCGCGGGAGAGAGAAAGCCATATCGGAAAAGGATAAGAAATGCAGATATGAAAGTAGGATACGAACTGATAAGTAGCACCCGGCGACAGACCTTTTGACATAGTTTATCCTGGAAGGTCCGCTCCGCGGTGCCTATTGGAGTTATCCGAAACCGGGTATCCCGTCGGGTGAGGTTTATCATCAATGGTGAGCCTTTTCCGTGGACGACAGGCAGGGTCAGTGGTCGAGCCATTCGGTGGGTTGCTGGAGATGTTGACGTGCAAGGTTGCTCTGCATGTCCTACCATTCGAATAGTCTTTGCTGGTGTCTCAATATTGTCCTCATTAGAATGTTGTAGTTTAGACTCTGTTTCATAGTTAGCAAACAACGCTACCAAAGCTTATTGTGCTAACTCGGACTATATATCTAGCGGTTTATTCGCACGCGATGTCGTATAGATGAAGCGCTAGGTCAGTAAAAGCACTAGCGTCGATAGCCTTCAGCGGCGTTAGACTTGTATATTTGGTGCATTCTTCGGTCCATTGGTAAGTTAGCCCCAAATTGACGTAAAAAATACTCGGTCTAAATTTAAAACTATAAAGATGCGTTTCGTGTAAGACTCTTTAAAGTTTGAGGCACTGGAGAAAATCAGCCATTTGCGTTAAGTTCTTATTTCGAACCTTTTTTTGTTCACTTTTAAAAAGCACGGCAAAAGAGACCAAGCACGCATCTGATCTCGCTACAGGATGCTATAGAGCCTGTGCAGTCCAACGGTGGCAAAGGTAGGCAAACACAAGTTAGACGAATAAAAATTAATCAAAGAAGCTTTCACATGTGTGTAGCAATCGAACGCACTGCACGCACTGCAAAAACAAAAACTTCAGATTCGAAAGGTTGAAAAAAGTATCTTTTTAAATTAACTTTATTCATATAATACCAAGCAGGTGTGCAACGCGGAACACAACACACGTGATGCGTTCCTCCTCGAGCCTCTTCAGCGCAGCCCCGTGGTCCTGGATAATCTTCCAATTATCCACGGGATGATCCGCTTGGCTGCTCGATGGAAGAGGCTCCAGCATGCATCGGCTTTTTTTGTTCCCCTCGCGGTAGAGAAACTTGGGCTCCTAGGTCTTCTTAATCAGACAGAGGAGCGGGAATTTGAGTCCGACCCCGATGCTGACTGAGCCTTGTCGTCGTTGGACATGGTGTCCTTGTTGGAGTCGCCGCTGCGCCCGATCCTCGGCGTAAACGGGGTCCTGCCTATTCTAGGCGTGAAGGCGGCCCTGCCTATCCTAGGTGTAAAGGAGCCTCGCTTCGGATCGCCGGACGCCGAGAACTCTCTGCTGTCCCAGGACTCGGGATCGTCGTAGCCCATTCTTCGCTTGCCTGCAGCAGAATGCGACCCGAACACTTATTCGAAAACGTGTTTAAGATACGTTCAAGTATATCTATCTAATTTATTTATTTCTGTACCTTAAGGCCGCAGGCACACTGCTCACAAAGTATACAAAACACAGGGTGTTCACTGCAAACACGATGAGAGAATTACTCGCCGACATGTCGGCAGACATTTGTTTGTATGCCCAATGTGGCAGGACCGTTGTACAACTGTCTTTATTATGAGGTATCAGTAGTGACAGCGGCTTTGAGTGTTTGCGACACCGTCATTGACTCTAACAATCGTGACTTTCAACACGCCGCGAAATGCGTGACGTTTCGTCAGGGGAACTCACCCAGCCTGGGCACGAACGATCCCCTGCCGTTCCTGGGGACGGGGATCATCTGCTGGGACATCCTGGGGTAGGACCAGTCCAGTGCCGGCCAGGAGTGCCTAGACAGCGCCCGCATGTCGGAGGAGTCCCCGTGGCCACCGTCCTCGGACACGGACCTGCCAGAGGGACGAATGCGCACGTGTGGGTTCATGGTGGGAGGATTAACTGATTGACTGATTATTTGATTTATTAATTGATTTTTTATTTCATTGATTGACTGACGTAAAATCTCACGGTGAAGAGATTAAGGGGAAGAAATATGCGGTGGGCGATCTTTTGGGGGTGGGCGTTCGCTCGGGATTTTATGGAAATGATTCACCCAAATCGTTTTTTTGATCCTCATTGGCGCTATGTCATCAGCATACTCACAATATATGCACGCCAGGCACGTAGCCAGGGGGGGGGGGGGGGGCATGGGGCCCGGCCCCCCCCCCCTCCCTCCGGCCTGAAATCTTCCATTTTGCTGGGACCTACTCTCCCTCTTCCCCCTCATACAGCATTTTGTCATGAGCGCCCCCCCCCCCCCCCCCCCCCCCGAAACAAAATCTTGGCTACGTGCCTGATGCACGCAGTGCCAATCTCATCAAACCTTCAGTTTCTTTCTCTCTATCTCTACATCGTAGTGCTACAATACAAATCTGCTTTGCGTTTGAAGGAGGACGAAGAGGTAGGGGTGCGTGGGACGGGCGGTCGGAATACGAAAATTAAGATAATGTCGCACCGACCGATTCGTCTAGTTTTATGCTTACGTGTTGCTTGGTTCCTCAACAATCCGCTGCATAATTTCTTGTACATATTTATTTCGTAAGATTTATTACGATAATCCCAGCCCCGAAACGTGGACATTGAAAGAAGCCTCAGGTCCCACATATACCTTCGCTTGCGTCCAATGCGTGGCGTGAAGTTGTTGCTGCGTCGCTTGTAGGGTAGGAGCAGAAAGGCCCAGTCGGAGCCAAGCTCGGTGTCCAGGGTGAGCAGTTCCTCGGGTCCACGACCCAGGTCTCGGCCGGCCGACCGCCCGACCCTCGGGAACGGGATCAGGCCCTGCCGCTTCACTTCGGAAGGACCCCAGAGGCCACCGTCCTCTTCGTAGTACGCCTCGTGTCCTGCGAAACGTGCACACATATCGCACCAGAAACCTCGCGTCACATCAGCGGCCATTGTGGCGGCCTTACTGCAGTGCTGAGCATTCAGATGTATGAAGCAAGCATGCTTCTAATATGGTTAAAGCGTGTCCCTAGATAATGATGTCTTCATGACTGTAGCGAACACTGTGTCCCTTGTATGATGTGCGAGCAGTGTGCCAGCGGCCATGTTGTCCACGGTAGCAGGTGTCCACCTTCGGCACCGTACATTTCTCCCCACCGAATGGTTTTTCCTCATCAAGAACAACCAGAAATAGAGTGTTTTAGTAGATACTTCCGGTGACGCCGATAACGATACCCGGTGATCCGACGCCGCCGTTGTGCGTGTAGCGTATCGTTATCGGGTGTCGTTATCAGGGGAATCGGAACGACCTACTAAAACTTTCTAATGACCAAGAGGTCGGTGCGATCGCGTAACGTACTGGAGGCCATGTATAATAAATTCAGGTTTTGCTTAAAATTTTTTTGTAATACTAGTATCTTTCCTATATACGAGCGTACTTCAAACGCCCGTACCAATATTACAAATATTTTCATAGATAGAATCCGGAAAGCGTGTTGGTTAAACATATTTTCTCGATTGTTAGAACGCTAACAGGTGAACAATGGACAACCACAAACATGAGAGGTTCGTGGTTGTTCGTTGTCCACCCGTTCGCGTTCTCAAAAACCAGAGAATATCTTGCTCGGAAACGTCAACTTAAACGTTAAGTGTTTTGGGTATCGAGATTAGTTCACTTGCGAGGTACGCAGACACTGATTCACGATGCAAATAATGCGTTTAGCCAGTGTATAGCACCACTGCAAACCTGGTTTCTTACTAACGCGCATTGTGCCAATGCCTTTGCCATATCAGCCTCTACTAAAGTGAGTGTGTACTGCATCGAAACTTTGAGTTCGCGCTTCCAAAACTATCTCACACACACACAAACACACAAACACACACACACAATGAATGGCTGTCTGAAGTAGGTAATTGTAACCGTTCAGAAACTGGCCCATTTCTTTTATTTATTTGTATATTTCGCTTCTGCAAATTTTCATTACCCCAAACCTTACTTTACCTATTGTAGAACTATATTTGACTTTATACATATTAAAGAAGATAGCACTTTGAGTGCTGAGTAACATTAATTAAAAAATTAACTTTTACGCCGTGGTTGTCTCCAGCTTCAGAACCTGCATAGCTGCAGCGAACTTCAAGTCATGTCAGATCACTGCGTAGGCAGGCCAACACTAAAACTCAGTCACTCCACAAGGAGACTAAGGTTCTATTATTAAATAGTGGAAATGAACACCCAGTCGATGAACTATACTCCGCGTTTATAATACACATTAATGTATCAAACTGCAAACTACTAGTCCCGACCCTTTCTGTCAGAAAGTATGAGCGACTCCAGTAAACGGTAGAATATATCTTACAACTAAACGAGTAAATACTAGGCCTCTTTCTTCTGTCATTATTTGGATATTTATATTCGTGTCATGTTAGTGCCGCTTTCCTCAGAGCGCTCGGGCAAACAAGCCTTCGTGTGTCTGACTTGATCCATGATCCTCATGACAGCCGGCACCAAGAATAGGAAGTCTTACCTCCAACTCCGAGGGTCAGTGTACTGAAGAGCAGCTGCAGCCAGAAAGCCCTCATCAGCAGTTGGCGATTCGCCCCCATTTCAAGCGCTGCTGAAGAAGCTTCGTCACACAAACACCACCTGCGCTTCCCGATTCCAAACCGTGCCGTACTTTTTTTGAGTCGAGGGTTAAGTGTATAACCAAGAGACCTACAAGAGCCTTCTTCAACGAAACAAGTCCTGCCCACTACAGTCAACGCGACCACAACGCCCGACCACACGGACTAGGTGAACTAGAAGACTGTGCCACCGTGTGGACAGTACGGAGAGCTTTTATAGGCAGTCTGTTGGGCAAAGTGCAGACGCTCGTTGCCCACGCCGCCTGAGTGTTCAAGCCCCGCGTCCGGCAAACTTGTGATCCCATTTGGAGGCGTCTGGGAGGAGGATGGCCCAAAGAGTCGCGACCCACAGCTCACGCGCTCGCCGGCCCGGGGGCACAAATGAATATAAATCCTCCGACTGCGAGCGACGAAGCGTTACGGCCAGAGGCCCGAGATGGGATCTATGCTTCATCCCCGATATTGTGTCGCTGCCCTTCGGCGAAGCTGGCGTGGGTTCGCGCAAGGAAGGGATTAGCCGGACCTGGCCGACGATCATGAGCAAAGTGGATCAACGGCATCGCTAGCTTTGAGACTTTGGGACGGCGGCCCACCGGTCTTCTCTTGTTGTTCCCGGGTCACCGCTTGAGCCATCCGTGCTCTGGTTATTCGGCAGGTTCGGTCGGGAGAGCGTAGGTGATTGGCCACGCAGCTGTCTGACGTCAGTGTGTCTGGGAAGAGCTACCGCCAATCACGTTCAAGTAGGAGGCCGTGGTGCGAAGTTGGGTGTTGCCTCCCTCATATGCTTCTTAGGTCTTGGCTCTTGGCAGAAGAAAATTCGGTGGTTTTAGGCAGAACTGAAGGACACCTTAGGATATGTGAGTCGACGCGGGATCCTTAATGGTCAGTTGGTTGATTTGGTCATTTAACGAATCTGATTAGAGGTATAAACACCAGAACAATGTTTCTGAGTTTGGCAACCGGAAATTCCTCTAAGCAAGATTTGTGGGTGCAATCATGCTAATATGAATTTACTATGTCTGAACTGGTCACTCTAACCGAGAGAAGCTGTCCGCGGCGGCCGGGGTGTAGACTTATTATGTAACAAACGTTTTTTTTCTAAAGTCGTAACTGATATTGAGAGCAAAGTTCAGCGTGTCTTGGTCGACTCCTCGATTCATGTATGTAACTCTGCTAACCACATTTTTATTAAGCTGACGTTGTAGCAAAAAAAAAAAAAAAAAATACCAAAAGTAACCCTGATATATCTTAAAACACTTTCTAGCAACTTAGGTCAGCACAGCCAGCCATAAAAACTTACATAATATGCAGTTATACCATGTTCGGAAATAATATTAAAACAATGCTTACGCCATATGCCGGTGATGATTGAATTTTATATTTGAAAAACATCCTATTTGTGTTCTTTATCTCGTTCATAAAAAGGGGATGTTACATTATCTAATTTTAAAATTAGTATTAACTCATCAAAGTACACAGCACCATTTCTATTCAATTTCATTGTCAAGTCATTTGTTAAGGTCAAGTGTTCGTTATAATCATCACGCAACACACGCATGACCGAGAGCATGATTGAACGATCAATTTACTCCAGCCAACGCTTTTGGCTCTGCGCAGGAAAGTACATCAACATCATAATTAGAACCACAATTATTCTTTACTTCCGTCATGAACGCTCTCCCCTTCACGCAAACAGTCGTAGAGTCAGCATATCCAACAGAGACACAACAAGGATTGCATCTCACACAAGTGTGTCCAGGGCCCGCACCCCTTCCTCGCAGCTGTGCATCGAGCTCACACCAGTGTCCGAACTCGAGTCCGTCACATCGCAACAGCACCGTCCAGCAGAACCAACACTGTCCTCAAGCTGCAGCTGTATCTGCAAGTGAATCGCTTCAGCATCGGCGACACGCAGCTGTTCCTCAAGTTGCCCGAGACACCGCCGTTTCTCCGCTAGGACCCGATCGCAGTTCAAGAGACACCCGTGGCTCATCTCCATCGTCTCCTGCTGCGACCGGTCCAATTCCGAAAGGTGGTCCAACTCCTGTCTGACGGCGGTCAGCCGGTCTTCGGTGCGCTGAAGAGTCTCTTGCTCCCAGCTGCATTCACGGAGTTCGCTGGACAGCCGCTGCACTTTCTCTTCTTCGCTCGCGATGCGACGGCACACGTCGAGCAGCTGCTCGTACAACGCCACCGCCGTCTGCCGAGTCTGAAGCGACTCGTCTTCAGACTCTGGTCGGTAGCCATCCAGGAGGTAGTCGGGCCCTAGTTGCCGTACCCGAAGCGCGTGCATCTTGGTTTCGTGGCGCTCGATTTCGGCGTCTCTCCGGGCCAGCAGGGCGGCTTGCCGTTCCAAAGTCTCTCCCTGGCAGATGACGCTCTTGACCAGGTCTGCTACCTGGCGGCCTTCCTCCTGCGCCGCGGATAACTTACGCGGATGCACTGTCCTGAAGAGGCAGGGCGACGGACTCGAAGACGTCGAACTCGAGCCGCAGGGCCGCCGATGCCGGCGTCTGTGCCGGGAATGAGCCGCGCAGGGGTCAGACGTGGGCGGAGATGGCGACGACCAGGGTGACTGGAGGGGCTTCACACGTCGGAGGCTCAGCTTGACGTCGTCGCCGGCCCACAGCTTGAGGATTCGCGAGCGGCCGTCGAGGTGTCTTTCGATACCCCGTTGACAGAGCTCCACCAAGGCGTAGTGGCAATCGCTGTTCGTGGATGAGCACTTGGCGGGACGCCACGAGTCCAGGAGGGCCCGGACCACGTCCTCGCAGGTGGTGCGACGTCCGACGCCCGTCACCCATTTCTGGACGCCGCCCACCCACACGGGGATCTCGGTGCCCATCTCTGCGGTCCGGTCCTGGAGCGATCACCAAGTGAGGCTTAGGCATCCGTGGAGACTGCTGCCCGACCTGCAAGGGGACGAGGAGGAAGTCGTTTGTCGCGAAAAAACAGGGGAAGTTTCTAGTATCGAATTCTACTGGCGAAAACACCCAATTGCACGTGCGGCCATCGCGAGGGAGACGTTATTATGAATCGGTGTGGAAATCGCTTATTTATTGGACTAGACTATAATCACTCTTGACTGGGCGTAACCGACAAAGGATTTTTTTTTTCAGCAATGTTTAAGGTGCTCGGCAAAACTTACAAAAAACGCAAAATCGTGCATCACCCTTTCTACGTCATTTTCTGAATGACAAAAAATTAGAGCTCCCGTATACTAAATAATGTAATACGGTTCGAGCTATCGAGTCTTAAACGTTCGGCATGTTGTTCCCTTTTTAGAGCGCAGCTCTTAGGCGACCATTTCCGGCTTGAGCGGCGTCGGCGTCGCCGTCAGCGTAACCACGCGGTGCATTATCGGACATTTCCCATAATGCACCGCGCGGGGAGGAGGAGGAGGGGGAGGAGGAGGAGGGGGAGGGAGGATTGGTATACCCTCCCCTCAGTACCCTTCCCTCCTCCTCCTCAAGAGCTGCGTTCTAATTCGGCGTTACAGGGTGCTGTAAACATCTTTCTTTTTTTTCATCGTATATTTTATTCCAGCATTACTTCAACTTAGTGCACATCTGCCTTCATTGTGTTATCATATGCCTCATTGAGTGAGTCTTTATGATAACTCATTACGCACAAATTTCATAACTGTGAATTAAGTATCGCACGCTATAGCCATTTCTTGGTTTTTAACTCTGGTCCCAAATTATTCAACCAAACCCTTGCCTTCGTAAAAAAAAGGAAGAAAAACATTAATATGGTTTGATTTAAAAATTTGATTTCGTTAGTTAATTCGGATTAGAATGTATTTAAAGCTGGAATGACCCTTGAGTTATATATAAAAAAAAGAAATCTATTTTTTTTATTTGTGAAATAAAAAAAAAATTACGGGCACACATACTGATTAGCTAAGTTTACTGTGCTTCAAAGGTACTTCCAACGAAAGCATTGCATGAGGAGGGATCAAGCTACCAAAATTAAATAGTAAGAATTGCCGAATGAAGGCTGGTTATAATTATAAACAATATGCATATTATTCTAGTAATATAAAAATCCCAAATTATCGCAGTCAAAACAATAAGTGCTACCGATTATACGTTGCGACTAATAAAACAACAAAGATAAGTCAACTGAACCTGGTTAGTTCCGAGCAAAAATATTTTCAGGACGTGATCCTATATTTATTTACAGAAAAAAAAAAAAAGCTATGCAAGAATATGAGAAACTTGTATTTCACGTCCTTCGTCAACAATGATCAACTTGCGCAAGTTACACAATGCTACTGACGACATCTTCATGCGTGACCGAAACCCGAATGGCATTTACCAAGTTTCAAAAGTCGTTTGCATCTTCTGCAAAGTCTTCTCTGTTTGAGCAGAAACAGGCAGTGCACGACTAGGTCTTGGCAAAGGCCACGAAGTTACCACCTTCACCGGCACAATGCCGTGAAACGCATATTACTTAAAGGGAAGATGGGGCACTTCTACATTTGAGAAAAAACGCTTGAATTGCGTTCATTTGGCCTTTAGAATAACAGATATCAAAATTATATTTCAATGCGACGCGCCGGAGAGTTACAAGAGCAATTTCAAAATATGGCTGAAGCCCCGCCCCCCTAGCCTTGGGCAGCGAAAAGAGCCGTCGATGACGTCATGGACAGCGACTGTCTTTCGAGTTTTTCTCGCGTTTAACAATACTTACGCAGCAAATGATTTGGGTATTCGGGTTCACGGGGTAAAAATACACTAGAATTCACTTCTAACTCATTTTTTCCAAGAAGCTCCGTAGCTTCCCTTTAACGCCTAGACGAGACACGAGCTTTTTTTGTTGTGACTTTTAGCGAAGATTGCATTTGAAGTTGAACACCCTTTTGCAGACTCGCATGCTTCATGCTATCTTGTTTATTCTAGATTTTTTTTGTATCAAAACAAAATGAAATTGTTCGATCATTTATATACACGAACTAAGCTCTGTTACGTTACGGCGCGGTGGAGGCGCGTCGGGCGCACTTCCGGTCTGGAGCTGTGTGCGGAAGTCTCCAGAAATCACCATGCGGGACGGGCATTTCTGTGTTCTTATGGAAGAAACCATGCAAAATCCAGCCTTCTCGTCAAAACGCTGTTGCTGAGGCTATACCAAAAAAGCCGGGAAAGTTTTGAAGGACAGTTTTCACGTGTTTTCTGCCTGCTCGGTTCGTCCGAGAACGTGAATATGTGCCGTGAAAAAGGAAAACCAGACGCCGTCGGACCACGATTGCCTGTGCAGGACGCACTTTGGGTTGAATTGACGGATACTTGTGGTCGTCAGATTTATTTGGTTTGTTCCAGCATGAAGGCGTGAAAACCACCAAGTTGTACGGGCCACCAGCGAACCACGTTCAGTGCGTCTTCACGTTCAAACGCCCGCCTGATCGTTCGAACTGTCGTCTGCTCTTTCAAACGTTTCTGCTTGTTGTCGTCTATTCGCTCAAACGACAGCTGGCCCGTAAACGGAACGTTGACCCGGTAATTCCGATCAGGAGTGGAGGTCTCAAAAAACTTTTAAGTTTGAAGGTTGGTTGTGGTAAGTAGGCTCGGTTTAAACAGTAGATACAGGGAGATGTTTATCATTGTTACCCGTGGCCATAACCGACTTGTTATGCCCGATAAGGTCCGATTCTGCTTGCGCTTTTTAGTATCGACGTCGACCATCTCAGCTACGGTTCACGGTATTGCAGCCCCAGCGATGTCGCGACTGAAAATAGCGAGCAGAATCTCATTATGCGAATCATGCTGTAGCGTCCGTTCTGCGGCGTCCACGCGGAATGAATCGCCACATGTCACATTATTCACGCGAAGTTTTGCAGTGTAACGAGCCTCATTAATTTTGCTGAGGCCGCTAAAGTAGTCAGACATTGCCAGGAAGACGTGATATCAACAATTCCAACGCGAAGAAGAGCACCGAGCCTCACACCGACGCTGACAACGTTCCATTCCTATGGTTTGTTTATGGGCGACGGCGAGCTTCTTGCCCACACTCCATCGCGCATGCGCGGCACCGGTGGCGTCCGCTAGGGACGCTCCGGTTTCTTTGTAAAGATGAGTTGGTCTACAGGACTCCCTAAGATTTGAACACGTTTAACTAAATAAAAATCGTTATCGTAAAAAAAAAAAATTAACAGTGAAAGGGGATTGCGCAAATGTCATTAGTTAAGCGCCCGTGGATGTAGTACAAAGCATACGTGGAACTTATGAATAGCCTAGGTGAAGAGCATGAACAAGTACAAATTTAACAGAACGACCTTAGATGACACCTAGCCCATAGCAATTGCGACACATATAGATAAACGAAAATTTGAAAGAAAACAATCAGAACTGAGTAGCCCCCATAATATGCATGCAGACGCTTCGTGTGATCAAGTTGAACGTTGAAAGCAAAGCTAGATGTTATTTTAACGGACTTCCAGGACGCCGTTCAATATACAATCACAGTTACCCTATCTAGCAACCCTATGGTGACAGGTAGCTGCGATACTCCTCCGTCAAAAAAAAAAAAAAAAAGAAAAACAGCTATCGCGACAAGAAGCTAGATCTGCGTTATGGTAACCGCAATTCCCACCCCTACCCATTTCAATTCATATAAAAACCATACATAGCAGCGCGAGCGGTCGCGTGTCACTATACTGCATGAAGCAGGTAAAGCCGTATACCCTCACTGCTCATATACATCACACAAAACACATGGAGTTTCTCTGCTGACATGATGGCCGAGCGTCGGGCATCTTCGAAAGATATGTTCGCTTCACACATATGTGTTGCACTTGGCGTGTCTGGAGACAGTCTTTTGTATGATGTGTCGACAGTCTGACCACGGCCTTAAAAATATCAGGCTAGAAGTCGTGCAGCACTGGTAGATTTTCTCATTTAGGGGCGACGTAGACTCCAGACGCCCGTTGGAGACGAGTACCTACTTCCCGCCGTATAAACATATACACAACACTTTTTTTTTCTATCGACGGTTATATCCCTCCGCCGACGTACTGCCGCGACAAAAAGGCAGGGCGGCGCGTATAGTGATGTGAACAAAACGCAAGCCACGAAGATTCCGGGGACTCCTTCACGGTCTTGGTTCACACGCACTGGACGGATCATAGAGTCGCATTGCGAGTGGACCGCGAAAAGCAATCGTGCCAACTAACCGCAAACAACAACAACAACCAAAGGCTCCGCCGCCGACACGTTCGCGTGATTCGAAGCAGCGAGGGACAGCGCCCGCTGCCGGCATCGCCCTTCCTTCCCTCTTGCCATCGCGGAACGAAAACGGCCGTCCACAACAAAAGGTTAAAGAAGACGTAACGGTTCGGACAGTCGCCCCGAAACAAAGCACCGCGGAGGTCGCCCCAAAAGAACAATGGGCGGCGGTAGGAAGCAATGATGACGACGACGACAGCAGCTTCCAACCTGCGGAAGCTCCCCCCATCACGACCGCACGGCGTCCCGTGTCCCGCAGCTCCATTCTGGACGACGTGTGCTGTGGCCGCTGCGCAAGAACGGGGCCAACCGACGCCGTCCGGTCTTAGCGGGCAACTCGAACGACCGTGCCGCGAGTGTACGGTTCCAAGATTACACCGAACCCGACTAGCGCGTTAGGATATGTGGCTGCGAGTGGCTCGTATTGTTCGGAGACTGCTGAACTCGAGCTGCGGTCATTGCTGCTAGCACAGGAGCGTTTTAAGTCGCAGTGACACAAATACAAAATACATAGGGCCATGAACGCAATGATTAATTATCTTTCTACTACTCACTTATTTAAACTACCCTAATTTTTGATATAAATAGTGCGTACTTGTTGTTTTTTTTTTATAGTATTTTTTATCCCCTTTGTTTGTTCCAGTCCCCAACCTCACTCCCCTCTTTCCTTTTTTTTGAGAAGTAGCAAATCTGCTCTGAGACCAGGTGGGCCTCGTCTTGTCAGTAAATAAACAATCCTTCTCTAGGCCGCGTACTCCGCATGCAGATTGCGGGCCTAGCGAGCGCGTGCTCAATCCATGCTTTAATTAGTGACGGCACGAGCTCCCGCTAGCAACGAAAAGCTGTAACGCGCGGGTCTACTAGAAATCCCTAATATCAATGGAAGTTTCCATGTCAAGCGATATAAATCGAGATTTGGTACAATCAGTCTCTCCATCGTACCTCCATAACTTTCCAGGTTTATAAGTTTATATATATTTCCAGATTTATAAGTTTATATATATTCAATGAAATTGTCACAAAAATAGTGACTACCTAGTACAGTAGTTTGCCTAGTTTTCTAATATAGATTTTTGCAAGGACTTCAAAAGTTATTCCCCGGAAGTCATCACTATTTTCATTTAGTTAGGCTTCAGTGTATTGTTCCTGCGTGCCTCGAAAAAGAGATGATTATTCAAAACGTCATTAATCACTCGCACGAGATCCAGTCGTTAAATATTGCGGGCGACGCTCTCATATGGAAAACATATGGAACACATGAAACATATCAGACCTACGGGACATATCAAACATGAGACATATGAGACATTTCAGACACGTGAGACCTATATTATAGAAGACAAGTCGTTGTCTGCCGCAATATACTTCATACAAAATATTCCAACGCTCATCCGGGAGACACGAGTCTGCACCACAAGTTAAAGAGAATAAAGAATATCGTGAGACTCAAGCAAAAAAAAAAAGAGGAAACATAAAAATCGACCCGATAGAGCTCCATGACAAATCGCACCCTATCATCGCGAAGGAGGAAGCTCGAAAACCTCGAAACCGCCCTCTTACCTCCGCCAGCGTGCACCGTCACCGACGACGCCGATTCCAGAGGAGCACATATATAGTTTCCTGAATCGATCTTCCACGATTCCGTGCCGTTGCTACCATCCCCGAAAGCGGCGCCTGACTTGCGACCGTCAACTGTGAAGAGACGCTCTGCTTCGTGATCGCGGCAACCCGTCCTTGATGACCGTGCTCCGCCGACTCGCCGTCTCTCAAGTTAACCTCGAGCTAGTTGCTCGGAAACGGTTTCTTTGACTTCGAGCTGGTTCCGTATTCAGTCCACGAGTGCGGCGGTAAAGGAACGGTAGTCGGGCACCGAGTCAACAACAGACCCGTACGCCGGGCACTGATACGGAGACCGTGTGAATGAGATAACAAAGCGCGTCTGGCGCCGATAATTAAGGGCGATGAATCCACCGTTGTCGCTAAGCCTCTGCTGAAGATGCATGGTAAACATCGCGTCCTTGGAGTGGTTTATAGGAGATCTGAACTACTTTCACAAGTCGCAGTCAGTTCGCTAGCGTCGAGTGCTACCGTCTGTTGTGTAGAATACGGTCTTCAGCTCGTTCATTTTGGGGTGGATGGGCAAGAGGGGATGCCAGGAAATATGTGGGACTAGTTTTTCCAGCTGACGTAAGCGAGCCTATTGTTCCTCTCTTCATCCCCGTGCGAGTGATAGTCGAACCTTGCGTCAAATGTATTCAGATTCATCTTGATGGATTGTGCGCTTTACTAAAATGTTGGCAGCCAAACGCGTCCATAGTCCGATTTTTTTTTTTTTTTTACGAAAACACATACCTGAGACGTAAAAGCCCTAAGCCGCATTAGAAGGAATGAACAAACGCAGATTAGCGTTTCATCTTACTTCCGTATACGTAAATTACTGTCGTAGAAAGGACGTCAGCGCTCTCGTTGTATAGTCTGGACTCTGGAAAAACGCTATAGTCACATTTCCCAAACCTTTCTGGTCTAACTGGTCAGACATGCGCAGAACGGCAGTACATGGCCATACAGCTTTGCCTGGATTCCGTATCTATGTTGCCACCATTGAAAGGTTATCTAGAATAATTAAACTCCCTGACTTGGGGTGTGAACTATCGCCATCACCAGCCGACCATTATGTGCCAACGATGACGTCCTTGACCGAAACGTATACAGGAAAGTCACCAACCATGAAAATCAGAGAGCTTTGTGGGGGAGGGACTTGTAGTGCGTTTCTCAACCTTCAACAGGCCCGTACGGGGTTAAAAAGAAGTTTCTCCTAAAACATGACCTGTTCTAATTTCGAATGCTCCGTCAAAATTCAGCGAGATCCCAGAGTCCCAACCTGTTGTCGGTTTAAACCGTTCACGGACCAGGCGTTGGATTCCTTTAACTTCCACGACATCGCCACCGTGCTCTTGTCTTACGCACCTTTTGCAGATGCCACCTTGCCAAATTTGGATAATAAATAAAAATAAAAATAGTATGACAAAGTACAATAAGCATGAGATATTTCGAATGTGATGCGGTAATTCACTCTCTTTGCGTGCGACCGTAGATTCGGTAGCTTAATCGTCTAACTAAATTAAAGCAGCCCGTGGTTATACTGACCCACCAGAGAGCGTTCTGAGAACGTACAACCAACCGGAAGTTAACATTATTATGGGCTCGCATGTAGATATCATCAGGGCCCGGATGCATCCGGTCACGTCTTTTTTAACGTCTCACGTAAACTTTGTGCGGTTTTCAATGCACGGGAACGATAGCACGTTCCAAATAACAAAGAATGCTCGAGAGGCGCCCGCCTCTCGTTCTTCATCGTTTATTCTGCGTCCTTGTCAATTTCACGTGGTCGACAAGATGTCTGCATCCCCACTGAGCGTCCTCCTACGTCGCTTGCAGAGACAATGCGAACCTTGACGACCTTATCCACATCTGCATAGGATTTCCCTCCTCTCCCATGTCCCCATTATGAACGTCCCAAATCAAAGTAAAACGTGCCGTTCAATCGACATAAAAATATGTAGGTTAACGTAGTGCCGAAGCAGGTATGGGTTTGCCTGTGTACACCATCTCCAATCAAAAGAAAACGCACACACACGCACGCAGAACAGATCCTTCAAACGCGGCGAGCGGATGGTACGGCTGAGTTTTATAAATGCTAATTCCCGCGACCTCCGTGTATCAAAGCCGAATGTGCACCAAGAAGAAACTAACAAAATAAAAAGATAGATGTAATGGAATGGCAAACAGAGAGAGAAAAAACGACACATTTAAATTTCGCGATATCTACGACAGTCTTTAAAAGGGAAGATGCAAAAAAAAAATTTCAGAACTACATCTTTTTTTTTTTTTTTTAGATTAGTAAAATGTTTATGCAAATGCGGTCACGACTTTTTTAATGAAAGTACGGCGGATAGAATCGGGTGCACATAGTACAGTTCCGGATATTATGACGCGATATATGATCCCATAAAAAGTCATAACTAGGTAGAAGACTTTCAGAGTAATGAGGAATTGACACGTCTTTGGAGAAAAACGCTTGGTTTGAAAAGCAAATTATTTCGCTTTCGAATTATCAATTTTTTTTTTTCGCGTGGGTTTCCGGTTAATATTGCTGTCATTTCCACTTGTGCGTGCAATATATTTTCTCTAAAACGATGTTCTAAAGCAGGGATTTATGTCTATTGTTTTATAGAGCTCAACTTAGAGGTGGCTAAATATCAAAAATAGCGCAAAAATGGCGGTCGTGCATGTTCTGTGTCCTATACCAGACGTTCGTCGTCTGGTATTTGAACTTTTCGCTATTATCCTGCTCGTTGCCAACCCCTATACTAGGCATTCTCAGCGTGTTTTGCGTTCAGAAAGTCACGCGTGTACGAGCTCCCAGACCAGTGAGCAGACAACAAAATAGCAGACAACAAAACAAAGCAGACAACAAAATACACAACCTCTGTTTTTGCACAACTTTTTTTAAAATATTTAATTACCTTTAGTTCGAGCTTTAAACAACGGAAATTAAAACATAAAACTTCTTGCGAAACGAAGTTCGCGTGCCCAGTTTCAGGCATGTGCACGTTTGTACGTACGTTTGTAATTAGAACCTTGCAATGCCTGCCAAATGCTCTGGTTCTTACAGCCTCACCCGGTATACCGTGCTCTAGTGTCACGAGTCACAACTCTCGAAAACTGTTATCATCAGATCTACCAGTCTCACTACTCTTTTGCCATGCGTGAATATGGTGAAGTTCCTACGCGCTTTGATTTATGCCTGGTGAGTTTTCTGGGTCACAATTAGTTTATAATGTCATATTAGCAACATATATTACATTAAAAAATAAAGTATATGTATTCATCCAACTCTTATTTCCGTTCTAATTTTTGCTCTAGCTTAATATTTTGAATCTAAATGCTTACTTGGGCTTATTTAGGTAGGATACATTTCCTCATTTATTTTGCCTTAACTATTTTCCGACCCTCAAGACCACGATAGGTTTCCCACCTGGCCCATCAGCCAAAACGTCTGGAGACCCCTGTTCTTGAGTAAAAAAGAAAGAAAAAAAAAGTTTGTAGCGCGGTGTTACATCGTTTTACGTGTGTAATTCTAATTTACATTCAATTATAATTTATATTGTATTTATGGCAGAAGAGAGCCAGCACCAGGACAAGATACATGCATCAGAAACTGCGCTCATCTTTCAAGTTATCTCCTCCCTTGTATGGCTAACAGAGGAGCTTTAAACACGCAATGAAGTCGAATTTCAGTTCGAAATGAAGGAAGCAGGTCGCTATTTTCCCTAAACGGAGTTCCGAAGCAATTCGATAAATTGGTGTCGCTAGAACGGCATCACTAATCCATCGTTCGCTCAAATGAACACCGCCATTCGCTAAAGTGCCGTTCGATGACACATCATGGGCGGAGCTTCGTTCGCTAAAACGTCGTTCGATCAAGTCACTGCCTCCCAGGTCGTGCCCAACTCAACGTTAATCACGGCCCATGGTGGTGTGTTAATACTTCAAGATTTATAGTTTCTACGATTTTGACGAAGTGAATAGAAAAGTACCTGCAAAAAGTAACTTCACTTAGTTACAAGTTACTGTAAAATGTACTTCAAGATACAGACACCGAGAAATGAAAGCACCTAGGTTTTACCTCAGATACAACAAAATTACCAAGATACCCATTTCCGGTTACTTGTACCTAGGTTCTTTACAACCCGTTTGCGCACCCTCTACGGACGCCTAAAGGCAAAAATAAAGAGCTTCAGCGAAAAAGTTTGAACGATGGGAACAAATATTAAGCCACGTTAAACGCTCCTATCATGTCTGTGAAATTTACCGCCGGTAATGCGCACATCGCTCAAACCGAACTTCTTTTTTCTTCAATCTTAACTCGAAAGTGGGCCAAACGCCGGAAAGTGGAAGATTGAACACGCATTAGAAGTCGATAGTGAGCGATAAAGGGGAAAATAAGCGTCTCTAAGGGGGGGAAGTCATCATTTCTTTTTGTTTTGTTTTAACTTTTTTTCTGCCTTTATAATTTTTTTAAATTTTTTTTTATAGAACTGTTAGTTTTAGAGATTTCCATAGATTATCAAAAGAAACGGCGCACCGGTTCGTCGTTTCTTCCGAGCTACGAGTGAATACCTGTTCGATCTTCGCCGTCAATGAAGTCAGTAATATCTTGGCGGTGGGGATATTCGCCTGCGCTCTCTCGAGAGTGCGTGCACCTGTGACCCCGATATGCCTGCGTTCGTTTATTATTATTATTATTATGTTTTATCAGCGAAGTCTGAAAGTGTGACGCGCATTTCAGACGACCGAAATCCTAAAAACTTCGAGATCCGCAATACGTGACAACGTTATATCATTGTCCCACCAACCCCCCCCCCCCCCCCCCCCCGCCCCCAAACCCGAAACCTGAAACCTCTTTTTTTTTGACGGACTTGCTAAACACACCCAAAAATTATCAAGAAGCTTTTGTTTTTGTCCTTTTCGTTTCAAGAGACACGGAGCCAACAGGTCTGTCCAGATAAACATGCGTGCTACCATTTTTTTTTTGTCGCGCATGGTGCACGTCATTTTTTAGCGAATGGAAATCACGTCACTCAATCGTGTCTGGCTGCATTAAAAACCTTTTTTTTTTTTCTTGCACGTCTAAAGTTATGGGGAATTTCGCGCGTGTCCCTGGAAACGGCATAGAAGAACGTGTAACGGGGACCATTACAATTTTGCCGCATGCATGACGTGAACCTTACGATCGTTTTCGAGCCCCCAGGTGTGGCTGAACGACGTCCTTTCCGTCCGCTAAAAATAGCGGGCACGCAA